TTCGCCATCTTGTACAGAACTGCAGAAGAACAACTCTTGGATAACTTTCAGCACAATCCACAGACTGTGTCGAGGAGAAATTATTTAATGTTTGCGATTACGCTTAGCTCTTTGTTGTTAGCCCAAAGCGATACTGAAGCAAAAATATGTCCTTTAATGATCAGACACTTGCACAACTGTCACTAAACTACTCCTGTAACTTAATCAAACTTCATACTATCAGAGAATCACAGAATAACATACAGTACAGTTCACTGATTCAGTTTGACACCTGGATGAAGTCATTGGTGTTTAAGTCAAAGTGCAAACAGCTTTGCAAGCTTGTCAGCTGTGTTCCTTTACAAGTGAAACTTTCTTCTTAACCACCTTTATGTGCTGCAAAACATGAACACCCCTGCTTTGTGTGAGTTAAAGAATAGAAAGAGAAGATGTTTAAATAATCTGCCAGTCTGGTACAAACGTAAGGAGCCAGTAGAAAGATTGAAAAAAAAAAAAAAGATACAAGCCTTAGCTGAAATGTTGACTCTAAGTTTGCCGGGAGTGAATGAATATATCCAGCCAGCATTCTTTTATGTTTTCAGCTTGCACTGAGAAAAATCCATTATCTGAGTGAAAAAGATGGTTGACGTGTTTCCACCGCCTCCCTTTGTACAAAAGTGATTTGAGCCATCAGCCGGTATCGATTGTCCCACCCTTAACTTTTACATCAGGGTGCATTGAAACTGCGCCTACTCGGGACGTCAAAAAAGTCGCTCTTTGGTGCGTCGGTACTGAAGGAAAGTTTCTACAAATGGCACAGGAGATACCCGCATTAGTTCATCGGTGCTAAAAAGGCCAAAAATAACATATCTTCTTGAGTGGTCAACACAATGTGCAAAAAGGTGAATAAAACCAGAAGCCCCAAACCAAAACACACGTTTAATATACAGATAAAAGGGTAAAGATCCCTCGGGTCAGCACAAACGATACTCGTGAAGGTCTGAAGCATTCTCAAACACACTTATAGGAAGTTCAATGACTCAACTTGTTATTGTTCTTTACTTTTCTCAACACCGTTTCTTCTATCACTGCTAATCCAGTGCACGTGGCACCACAGGATGTTACCCATGTTCCTTACTTTAAAACTTTTAATGAAGGAAAAAACTAAGCGCTAACCCATGTTTTTTTGACCCATACAGTCACGTCATCCATCTTTGAATGCAGCCAATGGTCCGTCTTAAAATGTTATTTTTTGTAACACCAAGGCCCAGTATGTCATCCTCAACCAGTTGAACTGGACTTAAGGCACCTGTAACGGGCACGTTCAAGAGATGGAATTGACGTGCAGATTTTTGAGGATGTTTTTAACCCTCTGCATTGTTTTTTTGTGATTGTTTTTTTTAGCCAAAAGAAGACATCCGTCCATCTGTGAGCTTTAAGCTTATGAGACAATAGCTGTAAATAGGAGGGTCATGTCATGCAGTCTTTCATATTCTTGTGTACAGATTGATGTTTAAAACGAGTCAGCTGGTTTTCTGTTTGAATAACCACCTCATTAAAATGCTGCATCATATCTCTAAAGGGAAAACTTGCACGATCTGATGGCTAGTAAGAATGTACCCGAGCTGCGATCGTCTACAGTATCCGATGCAGAACGACAGAAGGTGCAAATACTGTGCTGCCCCGATGTTCGACATAACTCCACTGATGCATGAATGACACCTGAAATGTTTCCGCTTTCATATTGTCGACAATGCTTTCTTTTTACATCATGATGAAAAATAACCTTTAACTCGTTTCCAGTTTTGTTTCCTTCTTCTGTTTTTTTTGTAATCTGTGTCACATTTTTGCACAGCGTGGCTGCGTTTGCTCTCCAAGTTTGATTATGCCTCTGCATGTGTGTGTGTGTGTGCAACCGTTAATGATTACAGGAAGGTCAAAGAGAAGCAAACTGAACCAAAACAGTGAGGTGTTGTTATCCCGCAGACATGTTTTACTCGGTCGAACCTGCATTGCACAGCAGTGTTAGGAGTAATGTCGAGTAAAGATTAAAAATCTAAAAGATAATATTTGGGTGTTTACATTTTTCCAGACGACGCTTGGATTAAGAAGGATGCTGTTTCATAAAACAGTGCAATACGTCGGTTATATTTACCAGCAGAAGCACCAGTATCCAATCAAAAACATTAGGATTAGAAGTGATTTGAGTGGAAGAAAACTGAAATGTTTGAAAATGATGTAGGATGTATGTTTGTGTTGGTCGGAGGGACGAGGATGTTGAGTTCAATGCTGACTGAAAAGCCTTTCGTGGCACTTCATAAGACGAGCTTGGTGGAGTCAAACTCATTTCGATTGTACTATCCGGGGAAGCCATGATGCGGTTTCAGAGAGGTGTCGGTGTGATTATTTTAATGAGACTTGAGCCTTCCCTTTGTACAATTGGACAAACCAAGATGGTGGTGGTGGTGTCGGAGGGGTGTGAGGGTCAAACAAAGGAACCCTCCAGGCCTCAGGCTGACACCATCACCCCCGCCCCACCCACCCTCCTTTTGAAAGGCTCGGTCAGAGGGTGGAGACTTTTTAGCCGCTCTGGGCCTCTCTTGTAAATTGTCGTTCTGTGATCTTGCTTGCACTTTTCTTTGTTCATTTCCCAAAAATAAGAAAGTAATTGTAAGTATGTGTGTGTGAGAGTGCGGGTGCACTTTTTATTTTTTAATCTTTTTCAATTGTTTTGTTTTTTTATTTTTTTTCTCAATGTGATTGTCTGTTGTACACAACGCTGGATAAAGATGAGTTTTTGATTTATATTTTGTACCTTGAGAGGAAGATGAGATCTTCTTGGACATTTTTTTAACCCCCCGCTCCCTCCCCGTCTCCTCCCCCCCCCCCTCTCTCTCTCCTTTTATCCTTGGTACCTGGGAATGCTTTGAAACATGGACTGTGACTGCGATGCTGTCATAACCTGCCGTCAGTCATTCTCTGTGAATTCATCCAACTTTCTTATTTCACCCAGTTTTCCTCTCTTCTTTCCTTGACTCATTTTTTTCCATTAAAAAGATGACATTGAAAAATGACCTCAACTTTTTTGACAACATTGTGTGTTTGTGTGTGCATGTGCATTTATTTGCTGTAGCTCTTGGGTAAGAAGCATTGAATGTGTGTTTTATTTGGACGCCAGTAAGTCAGTCTGTCTGCTCGTCTGGTTGTATGTATTGTTGCCAACTAGGACAGCACACTAGTCAGTTTAACATTTTTTATAGGGCCGACTTTGTCGCCCACACGATTCCTCCCTTACTTTCAGTTATTCTTGCTGGCTGATAGCTGAAGCCAACACTAACCATCTTTTCCTCTTTTCACTGGGCAGATAAAAATCTATCAAAGCAGTGTGTTCAAAGTCAGCCTTCAAACCCTGAATAACTAATTACCATTTCCAATTTGAATACACTTTGCAGCTAAAAACACTTGCACCACAAAACTCCTTCTCTCCCAAAAATATTCTGACCTCTTCATGTTTAAAAAAATGAGGGACTATGAATCGACAAAAGATGAAGAGACAGCTTTGTTTTGTTGTAGCTGGCCTGCAAAACTGCATATGCGGGACAAAAGAGCCCCATCGTGTGCGATTGTTTTTGGAACAACAGCGCAGAAGAGAACAGGCTTTGCTATTCAGGGCAGGTACAGTTTTGCTATTTGTGATGTATTCCTGGAGATGAGACATTCATCATAGCTGCCGTGTTGGCCAGACCTGGCTGAGCAACAGCAGCAGGGTGAAGTCAAGCTGATCAACAATTCCATTTTTTCCCCCTTACATGTACCTGCTTCCTTCCAGGAGCCAGAAAACTGAAAACCTGTGCACACTTGGCTCCTATGGGGAATACAGGTATTTTTAAAAAATATGCTCCAAAAAAACTCCTCCATCCATCCATCCTTAGGCAGAGCTCCAACCTTATCCAAAATCCTGCACAGCACCCCCAACCCCCCGCCATCCTGTGCATACAGAAACCCACACACAGACATCCAAGTGCCACACACATTCAGACATGTGTGCACACAAACATGCACACTCACACACACACATACTGTACAGTATGCACATGCACACACAGCCTGGAGCTGCTTTCTTCTTATGAGCTTCATTACTCTGACCCCAGTCTCCCTTTCATATCTCTGAAGATGTTTGTGTGTGTGTGTGTGTGTGTACATGCATGTGTGTCTGTTTCCACTCAATACCCAAAAGAATATGTATATGTATATGTATTTAGGCCTAGAGTAAGCAAAAGTGTGTGTGTCTATGTGTATGTGCAAGGATGTGTATACTGTAAGCCAATATTGGGATACTATGTGTTGGTAGCGTGCGTGTGTGTGTGTGTGTGTACATGTGTGTGTATGACTTCCCAGCCAATTACCACATCTACCAGACAGACTGAGACTGCCTGGGCCCTGCCAGCCAATCAGAGAGGGGCTGCGCACTGCCGGGCCGGAGGTGGTTGCCATGGGAACCAGGAGGCCTGTTTGCATGGTGGCTGATGGAAGAGTGATGGATTACAGTAATGGGATGGAGTGAGAGAAGGAGGGAAGGAGATAGGGAAGGAGAAGGGGAAGAAAGAAGGGGAGAAGGTAAAAGGAGAGGTGATGATGGGAGGAAGAGAGAGGGATGGAAGGAGAGAAAGAGTATAGGGAGAGAGGAGGGAAGGAAGGGACAAGGGGAGGTGAGGAAGGAGGAGGGGAGGGTAGGAGACAGACTCATACATAAAGATATTGGAAATGTATGAATGCATTTGAAATGAAGGGACTTAAAAAGATGAAAAAAAGAGTGAGAGAAAATGATAAAGGCAGAGTGGGGGAGGATTGGAGGGGGAGAAGATATTGGGAAATGGAGTTGGGGGGATGGAGGGGGGGGGGCTCTGTGCTGTGTGATTGAATTCCTCTCTTTCCCTCTTCTGTCTGGGCTGAGATGTGTGTCTGGCCATCTGCCCTTGGAGCAGAGTGAGAGGTAAGTGTGTGGAAAGATGCAGTCTCACCTTTTTGCCTCCTCAGCAGCACTGCAGTCCTGCTTCAGGGTTTCATGCAGGTCCAACTACATATTTCAACCACAAAGTGAGGAAAATACAACAACATAATACTGCATTTCTATAAGACACATGGACTTAAACAACTGTGCATGTTTTGTTTATTGCCATCAGATTATATGGCTATATCTGAAGATCTTAAGCCCTGCTCACACATGCACAAAACTCCTTTAAAATGACCCAACATTTTCAGAATGAGCTTCATGCATGAACACAAACAAACACATTTTTCACCCTGACCTTTTTCAGATTTTTTTTCCTGCCAGTATCCAAGTAAAACCTCCACAAAAAGTCTGTGGAGCCAATTTGTGAACGCAGCCTTAAATATTCAGGAAAATTAAGCGCGAGCGAGTGGACACCTAATGAAACTGCTTCATTATACGTTCTGCTGGTCAGTATGTTCTTTTCCCGTCCTTTGTTCAAACCATGAATGTATCTAACTTCTACAGTGGCCCTGAAGGTCAACTGCACAATTTTTCATGATTGCAAAAGAAAAATTTCACCAGACACCAAAAAAAAGATTTAGAGATACTTTGTAAAACATTTTTTTTTTTTTTTTTAAACAGGACAATAGTCCCTTCAGCAAACCACACATTTCTAGCACAATCACTATCCAATGTATTTGACCCGTTTTAAATGACGAGGAACGGGACCAAACAGAAAATATATAATTTATATTAACAATGAAGGCAAAAAAGCAAAACAAGAGCTTACTCTTCAAAGGTCCAAACACAGTCCTTCAAAACACAGAAGCTCAGAAGAATTCACGAGAGGCTCAGGGACTCGAGGAAGGTATAGACATGTGATGAACTGCCAATAAGAGGGAGCTATAGACACTGGGGTAATCAGACACAGGTGAAGACAATCGGGTGATCAAAATGGAGGGAAACCAAAAAGAGAGGAAGTAAGAGAAGACAAGAAACACTCAGGACAAGAACTACAAAATAAAACATGAAGTAATATAGACCAAAAGAGAACTCAAGAATATAACAGTAACAACACACACAGGATATAGAGAATCATGAGGATAAGAAATTACAAAATAAAACAGGAAATGCTAAAGACCAGTGTTTCTCAACTTGTCTAGCCTCAAGGCTCCACCACCAAATCCTCCCTGAAAAACCATGACCCAAACTTCTGATATTTTTTTAACCAATCAGATTTATTTAATGCAAAATTCTGCTGTTGTTTTGCAGTTTGCAGCTCATGTCAAATGTTTTGTACCTTGGACGATGCAAAACATCTGACGGAAGCAATAAACAAACATGTTTAGAATAGCGCTTGACAAATTGTTTGACACAAGGTCAAAAGACTGAACCAGGAAACATTAACATGAAGAAACACACAAGGGAAACAAGCGATACCTGTGTAGAAAGAGACAAACTCAAACAAGAAAGAAAAAATAAACTCTGAAAATATACAAATACAAAACTAAACCAGAAACCCAAGACAGCCAACGCTTGTTGTTGCATGGCGTGGTCCTTGATAGGGAAAATAAGGAAAAGCCTGAGGACATGCTTAGAGCTGCAAAAGTAAACATGGCGTCAGACTGTCAGATTGTGTAGGCACTTTGCAATTCGAGAGCACCAAAAGACCACACACACACACACTGCGGTAATCAATCAAAGGTGAGACTGATGCAGCCAAATGAGGCCCGGGCGCACATTGACTTTTGTCCTCATCCAGTGACAAATTTAAAAAAAACTTAACAAAAGGCCACAATAACAATAAGCCTCATTAACCACACATGATCGATTTTTACCAGGAAGCCCAAAGGTAATTAACAATCCGATTGGTAAATTAACATTCTAACCAGATTATCAATCAATGAACCGGGATCGATGTAAATCAAAGCCTTTGACCTACAACAAGCTTTGTCAGAAGAGCCAAAAAAAATAGCATTTAAAGCGTTCTGTAGTTTCTCTAACATACAGTTTCCTGTTGAACCTCTGCAGGTTCCTCTCTCGTTGACAGACAGCCACTGAGGATGCTTTCTGAGTCAAGGATTAGACTAAATCTGCGTCTGGGGAACCCGACTCCCTGTGATCTTTCTCAGCGACAAAGCGCTCCTCGAGTCAATTAAAGATGCAGTCCACTCAAATTAACTTCTGTCCCGAATCAAAAACATGAAAGACGTTAAATAAAACACCCATCAGAGTGTCGGTTCAGTACGTCCTCTTGTCAGTCAACGTGTCGTGTTGAATGATGATCTGCCACAATCCTCACTTTGAAGGTGTCTCACATGAGTCATCTGTGGAGACAAAACCGTTAATTTCTTGTTTTGAGTGCTGATAAAAAACAAAAGTGGATCATCGAGTATTTTCCAGGTAGATGAAAAATCTGCATTGCAAAAGTGCATTCAAGAGGAGAAGCTGTCCTAAAAGGTTGAACTTCTGAATCACAATTCAACACTGCAACCTAGAGGCAGACTTTAGCAACAACACTTCCCCCCTTTTTCCCCCAAATACAAACAAAGCAACATTACCTCTGTTACCTGTGCAACGTCTGTCTGTCAAAGTCTAGCACAAAGAAAGAGCGAATTTGTTAAAACGTTAACTCATTGAGTAGGAATAAATAAATTAATAAGTATATATAAAAGCATAGTTTAATTGCAGAGCATGCATTAAAATGGCATGATGTTTTTTTTTCCTGAGCTTTTAAAGTAAGTAAGTAAAGTGTATTTCTGTAGCACCTTTCAAGAGCAGACGTCTCAAAGTGCTTCACAATAAAGAATCGAGCAGAGACGTTACAAACAGACAGTTACATAAAATAAAATACAGACAGATCAAACAAAGGCGAGTCTGAGCAGATGAGTCTTAAGCTGCTTTTTAAAAGTGTCCACAAAGTTCAAGGCTCTCAGTTCCTGGGTTCAGGTGCCGCAACTTCAAAGGCACAGTCTCCTTTTATTTTTAGTCTTGTGCGAGGAACAACCAGCAGACCCTGGTCAGAGGACCTCAGGGACCTGCTGGTGAAATATGGCCTCAGCAGCTCAGGGATGTTAGCCGCAGCTTGACCATGCATGGCTCCAAACACACTAACAAGAACTTTAAACTGGATTCTGAAACTGATGTGGAGCCAGTGTAAAGACATAAGGACAGACCATCTAGAGCAGTGGTTCTCAACTGGTGGGTCGGGACCCAGAGGTGGGTCGCGAATATGTGCATGGAAAAAAGATGTCAAAAAAAAGTCTGTGCAGCACTTTTTAAACATTTTTTTTTTTTTAAACAGTTTTTTGCATCTGTCACATGTTTGCACAATTTTTCAGTAAATATATCTGATTGGTCGAAAACTATCTAGAAATTTGGGTCACATTTTTTTCACAGAGGAAGGTGGTGGTGGGTCCTGAGGCTAGACGAGTTGAGACGCTAAAACATGTAAACAGAGAATTGCAATAATCAAGCCTCGTTGAAACAAAAGCATGCATGATCATCTCTAGTTCCGCTCTGGACAGAACAGGTCTGAGTTTAGCTCAGCTCAGACTCAGAGCCTGACCCATTTGGACCCCATGTGGTTAACCTTTAAAATTTTGCCTGTCTGGGTGTGCACGTCGTCCAGGAAACATTTCCTCCTTGTTTTTTGCCTTCATTAGGTAGAACAGCTGAAGAGAGACAGGAAATGCTGTGAGGAGATGGAGAGGGGGACGACATGCAGCAAACGGCGGGGGTCAGATTCAAACCCACAGCCGCTGAGATGAGGACTACAGCCTCTGCAGCACACGACATAACCCATAACCATAACTATCCAGCGCCCATCTCCCAATTAAGTTTTTAATTGAATCAAAAGCATTCAAAGTGTTCTACGGGTCTCTTTTAGTGGATACCTCCTCTCAGTGAAAATAGCAAACTAGCAGTATTAGTAGTTTATGTAGAAGAGCATCATTAACTTCTTCATTAACTTATTGTCTTAATAACCCTCGGCACAACATCTTGTTCTGTGCTGCAGTCATGTACGGAGGGATTTATGCTGATTGGTTAATGTGACAAACTGAATGTCAGCAGAGTAATGGGAAAATACGAGGCTGATTAAATAAAAGCTCCCCCACTTTATCTTCCCTCTAATGCTCCCTGTTTCTTTCTCTGCAATCCACCAGCCTGAAAAAAACAACTAATATCGTTAAAAGATGTTGATTTGTCAATTACTATGTAAAAACACAAATGCAACAAATTCAGTGTTTTGATATTATTTCCTGTTTTCTAATATCAGCACCCTTGTGTTTCTCCCGCCTTCTTATTATATTATTCCCACATGTGGTTTTAAATGTTTTCTCTATCCCTTGTGTGTATTTTTAAATTAATTTTTCCAAGTTTAATCAGTAGGTTTTTCTCTTTTATTTTGGAGTTCCCATGTAGAGTTTTGCTTCCTGTCTTTCTGTATTTTTCTCGCCTTTGTAAATGTGTTCCCCGATTACCTCAGTGTGTTTGTGGTCTTTTGATGTTTTCACACAGTCTGACAGTAGACAGTCCCTTCTCTCCGTGCTGTATCCTGTAAGGACCTCCTGTTCAGTAGGCAGATATTTGTTCCTACTTGGTCTGATTCATTCAGGGTGGAAGTGGAGTCATCAGCCCGCCTCATGTTATTGACACGCCAGCTCAGACATGATATGCTCAATCACTCAGAAAATAATCCAAAACTTCACATTGCATGGAAACAATTTAACAACTTAACATTTGAAAGGCCCGTTATCCGAACCATCCATCCTCGTTTGTTTTGATTTGGAGGCGCACAGGAAGTGACATTTTACATTTAATTTCGCACAGTATTGTGGGTGTTAAAATACAACTAATTTCCTGAAAGAATGCATCCAAACCATACTGAAAAAATGTTCAGTCTACTGAGGTGGATCCAATCGTCCTAACCACCACCTGACACCCAGCCTCCACCATCAGACTGTATCGTCTCCTAAACCACTACCGTCCACATTCATGCACGGCCTGCTCCGACCTCCACCTCAGCTGCAAGGAAGTGTGGACAACAAGAACGCGAGGAATACAGAGGAGAAATCCTGCATGCATATCATCCCATATGCTCCTTTGTAAAGCGTCTCGAGATAACACTTGTTATGAATTGGCGCTTTACAAATAATGATTGATTGCTTGCTTCAGGTTCAGGTGACTTCATTTGTACCTGTAGGTAGATTTGTTTTTTTGCAGGCAGCAAGATTGACATCCATCATGACACACAGATTACAAAACAGATGTTACAAGAAACAACACATAAGAGAAGAAACTATTTAAAACCTACTTAAACATGTTTAAAAAATAAGTGTAAGTAGATGTAAGACGGACGGCAGGGAGAGCTCCACATGTGAGCCTGAGCTCGTGGGAAGAACCACACATGGAGAGATATCCTGGTGAGGCGTTACACAACTTAACGCTGCTGCAGGTTGTTGTGAATGATAAATGAGCTAATCTTTGTGTCAGACTCAGGAATGAACGTCAGAGGACTTTTGCCTGAGTCAATGCAGCGACTATAGTTAAACGTGCTGATATCATTCAGCTCAGATGATCATAAGTCACCACATACTGTAGCTGCTACTCCCTGTCTGACTTATACTCACTGTGGAGATGATTCCCCCCCACCCTCAAGGTATTACACATTCACTAAAAATGTCCAGCTATGGCTCAGAAATATTTTTAATTTCATGAAGAGTTAGACAATGAATTGCACAGCAAGCAATTTTTTTTTTAACTTTCATAATGATGTACATCATGTTATTGGATCATAATTATTAATGGATTACTGCACAAATCATTTTAATAGTATAGCTGTTAAAGGTGGAGATTCTTGCAATTAGTTTATATACAGAATATTTCTTCTGTATTCCTTAAATCCATCAATAATATCACAATTTTAGTCGCCTGTAAGAACACACTGTAATTAATTTTTTTAAGATTTCTTTTTTGGCTTTTTGCGCATTTATTGGAGGGACAGGACAGCGGATAGAGTTGAAAAATCAGGGAGAGAGAGAGAGAGTTGGGTACGACATGCGGGAAACAAGCCACAGGTCGGATCTGAACCCGGGCCACCTGCTTGGAGGACTACAGCCTCCGTACATGGGGTGCGCTCCAACACACAATCATTTTGATTTTGTTTTATTGGGTTAAAAGTTACCCACGACAACAACAAATGTAACAGAGAAAAAGTTATTAAGTTAAAGCTCCTGTGAGGAACTTTCTTTTAGTGTCAGTTCTGGCGCCCCCCTGTGGACAAAACCAAAATGTATATGTCTTTTCTGAATTCGTCCTTCACATGTCTCAACTGGAAAGTCGTGGGTTCGATCCCCAGCTCCTGCAGTCACATGCCCGATGTGTCCTTGGGCAAGACACTTAACCCCAAGTACACGGCGGCGTATGAATGTGTATGAACTGTTAATACTGATGGAAACTTAACATAGCAGCCTCTATAATCAGTGTGTGAATGTTTAGGTGTGACCTGCGGTGTCATAGAAAAGTCCATCCATCTTAGTATTTAGTGTCTTAACAAAAAGGCTGTCTGACACCCACCCTGCAGCAGCGTTTACAGGCTTTGAAAACACTGTATAGAAATGATCAGTCTTAATGCTAGGGGTGTTGTTTTCTTCCAGAGGTCATAAAGCGCCATCTTGATTAATGTCAGTCTGTTTGATTACCAACTTAAAACTCCACACAGGAGCTTTAAATGAACTCCTCTTCACATTCAGGCTGTTCTCTCATGTCTGTCACATTCATAAAAAGAGCTCTGTCCATGACGCTTTCTCCACATCATGTGCTTCTTACTCTCTGTCTCTTGGTGATACAAATGTGGTGATCCAATCCTGTGTCATCCCACACAAAAAATCACACGTTAACATGAGGTCAAGAGAAGAAAAAAAAGGAGAGAGCAAGCGGGGTCGAGAGGTGAAGAGAAGTGACTTATAAAAGCCGGTTTGTGCTCGGGAGCAGACCGTGGCAGTGGACAGGTGCTCCAGCAGGTGAGTGGAAACACAAACATTCAGACACAGATGGTACAAACAGACTGAGCCTCTGCAGTGTGCAGGCTCAAGCTGTTTTTACAGTAAGCATACCAAGGTAATAAGACTTTTAGATTTTACATTAGTATTTTAATTTTGACTGTTTGTTCTTAATTTCAGTTTGAATAAGTTCTGAACGCTGGTTTGTCAGTTTAGTTTATATTGTGTGAAATGTTCAGTTTTAGTTCAGTTTTTATTCTCATTTTAAGATTTATTTTTGTAATACGGTGACTGGGAAGTGCAAAATTGAAACGACAATGTGTGAAACAATTTTAGAAAGCTTGAGACAAATTCACATTTTTGGAAAACGTTTTTACATTTTATAAAACAAAATTAGCGCTGAGACAAACGTACAAGTCCCCAAACCAATTTACAAATGACAGAATCTTTGCCTGGCAATGGATATACTGTACATATATATAAAACATTTATATTCAGTATCACTATGGCTAAAACAAACTAAAAGACTGCTCACTTCCGGCATTTAGTACTTTCCCTTCCTGTCAAGAATCTGTCATTTGTAAATGTCTTTGGGGAATGCTAAAGGTGTTTTTCTTTTGTAGTTTTGTTTTATAAGATATAAAAAAAAGTTTCCAAAATGTAAATTTGTCTCAAGCTTTGTGAAAGTGTTTCACACTTTGTGATTTGAGTTTTTTTTATTTTTAAAGATTTATTTTTGGGCTTTTTGTGCCTTTAACGGATAGATTGGACAGTGGATAGAGTCGGAAATCAGGGAGAGAGAGTGGGGAATGACATGCGGGAAAGAAGCCACAGGTGAGAAGTGAACCCGGGTCGCCCGCTTGAGACAACAGCCTCCATACATGAGATGCGCACTAACCACTGCACTTCCCAGCCACCGTAGTTATATGAGATACTTCAGGCACGAGAACCAAAAGGGCGCAAAAAAGTAAACATCTTACAATGTAAAAAAAAGAATTTAACTACAAAGGAAAAACTACCACAACCATCCACAGAAGACACACAAGTCAGGACATTAGGCTTGTCGACAGTGTATGAATGATTAATTAATACTGATGGACTCATTACTCAGCAGCCTCTACCATCAGTGTGTGAATGTGTAGGTTTGACCTGTGGTGTAAAAGCACTTTGAGTAATGAGAAGACTAGAAAAGAACTACACAAGCTCAAGTCCATTTACCATTTATTCATCAGTCTTCAATGTGTAACTGTGTTTGATTTGATTTCTTTGCTCAAGGATCATCAGCAGTGCTTTAGTGAGGATGCATATCTCAGTGACTTTGTGTACGTTCCTCTCGCTCCTCTTTTCTGCTCATGCAGATGTTGTGGAACGTTTTGAGGTTGGTATCTTCAGTTTCTTGAAAACTTTAAGGTTAAGTTACTCTTTGTTATGTTAAGTTACAAGGTTCCCTCGGGGTTCAGTGTAAAATGTTTCTTTTTATTCCAGGATGAACCAGAATGCATGAAGTACTTCTACAAAGACAAGGTGCCTGAGTGGGGGGCTTCTACACCTGGTGCTGCCCGTCTCTGTCAGCGCTTTGTCAACAGGTAAAGAAAAAAGGGAATGAAAGTGGGATATAAATATCTATGATATGTTTTAAAAAGTCAATGGAACCAAGCTATGTCCTGATTCTATTGGTGGGGCGAGAACAATATTTATCAGAAGTAATAAAGCGTCATAAATACTATTTTATTGACTCATGACTTAATCAGATTTCTGGATCAGAAATATCTGGTACAAAAGAAACCTTGTCATGAACACCAGTGACACACAGTTTTTAACAAAGAATAATCAAATAGAGGGGTTTATAGACATGATCAAATACAGGATCAGAGTGGATTTAGAACAAGAAACGTCACTGACATGTTTTGGGGAGCTCTGAGACTTATTTAAACTGGTTGAAGAGGAGGAGGATGTGACCTTTAACAGACTTGCTCCTCAGTCTTTCTGCAAGTATAGACAGAGACTACAGGGCTGCAGCAGATCCACCAGAGCAGCTTCAAGTGGCAAATTGTAAAGTTTCAGAATTAAAATCCTCCTCAACTCCAGCTCTCAGCCTGTCAGGTTGTCTGAAAGTTAGGCTGAGACAGCATTTCCAACATTGCGGCTGATGCCAATAACCCTCCACCGCCCCCTGCAGGAGCAGATGGGTGACGTCACTCAGGCTTCATCCATTAATATTTACAGTTTATGGTTGTAACATGCCTCCACTGCTTAACTACAAATCACAACAGGGTATCTTTGCACCATTAGGTACCACTTTGCCACACTGTACGACACAAACCATCGTATCGCTGTCTACTCCGCTTATCAATTCCAGCCCAGTAATGGAGGAGGCCGAGAGAGACGCTGGTTTGTGGAGCCTCAGGTTGGTTTTTATAAAACACTGATTATGTGCATATACAGTATTTACATGATCTAAATCATCAGCCAGTGTGAAAAGTGCTGATTCACTGATGTGTAGAAAGAAATCAACCAATCACAGTTTGTGATGTGTCTTATAGCTGGTTAACATTTCATGGCAAGCAGAGATGAAGGATGGCTACTGGCTGGGTAAAGACCACCCTGGGGTCTACCTAGGAGAGAAACAGGCTCTGGATGAGGACTACAAACACTCTGGCTTTGATCGTGGTCACCTCAACCCCAACGGACACCATGCAGGTAGTGGAAAGTTGGTGTCAGCAGGTGGCAGTAGCAACCAGACAAAGTTCTTATTTCAGAGCTGTGTACACACCTCTTATAATCAGAGCTATCACAAAAGTGTTCTCTTTGTCCAGTAGCAGGGCTGGATCCAGACTTTTCTTTTTAACTGGGCCACTAAATTATACAAGGGTGGCATGAGGTTTACACTAGGGTTCTCACAATACTTTTTAAGCTGTGACGCAATACAATAGTAGTACTAGTTTTTGCATATTCCTCTCTTTTCCTCTGTTTCAGTCCCAAGCCGAAATGCCACTTTCACACTGACCAACGTGGTTCCTCAGAACCCAAAGCTGAACCAGAACTCCTGGAGGATCCATGAGACCCAGCTCACCGACCTCTTCAAGGAAAACTGCTCCAAGGCCTACGTGCTGGTTGGTGCCATTCCCTCAGCAGACACCTGGATCATCAAAAACAATGTGAAGCGGGTCAACATCCCCGACTACCTGTGGAATGCCTACTGCTGTGTGGACAACAACGACAGACCCGTTCAGAGCGGAGCTGCGACAGCCAGGAACACGGAGGAGAACAAGGTGGAGACGCTCACTTTGGAGGGAGTGGGACAATTCCTCCAGCAGTTCTCCAATCAACCAGTAGGGGAGCTGTTTGACAACAACTGCAAGGCACAAACAGATAATAAAAAGATGTGAAGATGAAGAACTCATATTCAGTGTCATTACTCTGAAATGTTAAATAAGATTTTATAACTATGAAGTCTTCTCATTTTTTTGTAGATTCATTTCATACAAATGTTTCTGAAACCAAAGTAACACCAGCCAAATGAACTGAAAAGAGTATAAAGCAGAAAAGAGTATATCACATAAGTAAGGTTAATGGCTTCTTTATGTAATTATTGTTTAATGGATTCATGGATTAGTCTGCTGATTTTTTTTATACTCATGGATCGATTATCGAGTTAAAAAAACGACATCAACAATTGTGGGGGAAAAAGTGTGTCTTGATTATTCAGATCCAAACATGGCAACTTCTTCATGTTTGTTCCTTTACAAAGTAAATAAACAAATACAAAAGCAAAAGGAGCAACCAAAAATACCTGATGAGTGTGGACAATGTCAGCCAGGCCTTACACAGAAATACATTCTTTAAAACAGTCATTTCTGTTGGTGCAAGGCCTTTTGAACTGTGTAACTGTGCAGCATATTTTATTCATGGGGCGTGCTGCTAAAGCTCCCTTTGTTTTTCTCACTTCAGCGGTTTTAGCACACAGCATTTAAGTTACATTTTTTTAAAGGGCCTCTGTGACAACTTCTCCATTCCACTGAAGTCCTGATCTCTTCTGAGAGACGTTTTCTCTGCGTTTGCTCAATTTCCAACCACAGAGACGTTTAACATACAGGCACGGCCCTTAGAGAAACCACACGCAGACCTAAACAGACACAGTTTAATGTCTTTCAGATCTGATTTTGATAAGAAAATTCATCAGCTGACTCCAGAGTAACGAGAAGATTCATAGATGAGTAGTGGAGCCAAAAGTCTGATATTTGTCTTTCAAATGTAGAGAAGTAAAAGTAAAAGGTTTCACTCACAGTGCAGTCTATGCAAATGACTGCACTGAAGTTAAATAGAAAACCATTTGCTTATCATCTTTCTTGGGTTGAAATTGACTTGTGATAACTTTAACGTAAAGCTGTTATCGACATGGTGCATGTTACCATGAAACAGGTTATACATACCATAAGACAAAATAAAGTGACTGATGCCTATTACAATTTTTACATGACAGTCAATGCAAATATCCCCACACAAACATATTTAGCGGTAATACAATCTAAATGATAAAGGCAGCCTGAATCCCCTGCCCTCATTTACAGTAATAAAGCATTCTTTTAAAAACACATTGAAAAGGAATATATGAACATGTAAAAATGTTGGCTATGATAACAAAGCAAAGGAGATGCTCCGATTACAAGCTCTTACACAACCAGTCTTTCGATTTCATGAAAGCATCACAGCCTAAACGTTTTTTTTTTTTGCTAAGTAATATAAATGGTACTTAGTTAAGACCCCACCCCTTTAATAATAATGATACATATTGTTAATAACACACTTTACCTACCAGTTGAGAGACGGCGACTCTACCAACTGAGCCACAGCCACCTGTAGTGTGTACTAGCTAATTATAGAAGGAGTAGGGAGAGTCATCCCTTCACCATCCTAGGAAAAACAATTGCAGCATACTAATGAATACTGTGAGTCAATCATTGGTGTGAATCCGAGGGGATTAAGTGGGTATACCTTCTATGGAGACTGAACAATAAGTGGGTACCTGCGTATACTACATCACTAATTTTACATTTAAAACACATCTCTAAGTGCTACAAACATTAAATCGTGAGCGCAAAAACAAGTTTGAGTTTCTTCAAAAGGTTTGTAGCCTCTGTGGAAATTCAACTTGTGAAAAACATATATATACACTGTATATATTTTTTTCAGTTCTTTAAGTGTTATAACCTTGAAGAACTGATATCATATTTCCGGGACTATCCGTATATGAGGCGACACCTGAGAGATGATTCAGGCAGTCAACTCGAGCTACACTGATTCCACACTTGACATGCATCATTCTCAACAATCACAACACCTACCTTCCAGTTAGCCATCTATTAAAGCTGTAAGATTTCCACTCCCTACCTTTTCTCTCTTTCATCGACAGCTCTGACCTGCACCAGTTCTGCACTCTCGCTCATCCCCACCTCCACCCCAGCATCCACCTGTAGGCTCCGACTGAGGCTTTAAGATATCATTCCATCACTCCTCAAATTTCTGCATGAAAATGAAAACTGTGAGGTCGGAGCCCAAACGCCAAACACAAACGTGAGCTGCTGACTGAAATATACTCGTGTCATGTAAGCAACGTTAAATAAATGAAACGAAGAAGCTGAGTGGTGAAGTAAAATGTTTATTAGTGTCTGTTCCATGGAAAGTTAATGCAAATATCATTGAAGGTAATATGCCCATACCCTTATAACCCAAGTGAATTAGGCCTACTGTTACACGGTTCAGTCTGTAAGAGCATTAGAGTTACGACCCGAAACAAAACTGAATGGCTAAGATCAGACTTCTGATCTATTGCTAAATGCTGGAGACAGAGGCAGGAGGAGTGAATATAAAGATAAGGAAGCAGATATGAAGTGGCTGCATGTGAAGTTAAATGGAAAACCATTTGCTTATCATCTTTCTTGGGTTGAAATTGACCTCAGCAGGTTAAGGTTGTAAGGCGCCTAAACTAGACACACTAGAATATTATTGCACAATATGTTTGACAATAGTCCCCCGAGAATATTTCTAATAAATGTTGCTTGTGCTGTGCAGCGGCCATATGATATCTTTTGTGAATTCGCCCCTAAAAGGACTTTGGCAGTCTTAAAACCGCCCCGCTACACTTCCTATCAGCAGCAGTCTGAAGCTCAGTTATACTTGACCATGGGGTGATCACTCCATGGTGGCAGTTTGGAAAGTTTCCCCTCCGTTTCTTTTTCTATGGGCCAGCCCCAGGCCTTAAAGAATCCAGAGAGGTTCATCTTCACAGCCTGGGAGAAGGTCTCAGCATACAGGTTCATCTTGCCATTGTTGTCCTTTGGAAAGGTGGCAGGGTTCATCTTGTGGTAGGCTCCAAACACCTTCTTGAAGGCGTCCCAGCCAAACTTGTCCTGGAGCTGCATGGAAGAGAACAGATGTAAAATGTAGTGTTGTCTCTCATTTTTCTCAGGTATTTTGGTTGTGTGGTGTTTTATGAGCATCGAGACAAAGAGTCTCTATGGGGGAAAGGACACAATAGCTCTCTCTTACCTGCATGTACGTCTCCAGGGCCGTCCATACACTCCAGCTAGCAAGTTCTCTGCCCCCCTTGACATACGCCTCTGTACGGTTGTTTCGATTCTCCGGAGTCATTGCTCCATGAGCCTGAACAAGATGAAAAGATTTGATGTAATCTCATAAACAAGTAAAACACAATGCACTAGAAGTTCACACAGCTCTTTGACTTCACCTTCTCCTTGCTGATCCCCAGCACGGTTTCATGCACATACACAGACCACAGGTTGCATGTACACTCTGTAGTGTGTGGTGCGAATTCCCAGTGGCGTTTCTGTTGGTTGTGTCCCAGTTCATGGATGGCGCCCCACAATCCAGTCTTTTTAATGTTGGGGATGTCGACCAGCGTAGCTGCTGTGGCCCTGTGCATCATGACAGGATAACCTGCATGCATCCAACCTGGGGGGAGAAATGGTTTAATAGGGCTCCGTATCTGTAATAAAAATCCTTACCGTACATCTCATTGTAGTGAAAGGGCGGGCACAAAGCACCGCACAAAATCCACGACTTATTTGAGCGGGATGTTACAAAACTATGGAAGCCCCTGCTTTTAACTACGAGTACGCTAACGCATGATATCAGCCTTGTGTATCCTGAAAAGTTAAGAAATCAAGTCCACAACTAGCGACAGATCATCTCTACTTCGGTGTTCAACTATGTGGTGCTCCCCCTAGAGGAATCCTCTAGTAACACACGTTGTGCATAGGCAAGTATAAGAACATTTACGTTCACAATCCAGCAGGTTGTCTATGCGTATGCATGGTTCAAAAGCAAGTATATTTGAGCCCTAAGAGGACATACATCAATACAATTTACATGACTGTTTTCCATGATTTCAGTTGAGAGCTAGACTTTTTTTTATCTCCATATCTGAAGATTCCCAAGTTAATTTCTGCAATTTTTCACAGGATATCGCGGTACTATATTGTCATCACAAGAAAACCAGTGTTGCTATCTCGAGATAACGACATAAACAATTTGAGAGCTTAAGAAAACCAGCCAATAAAAGTCATCACCATCAAATGTTTGAGCTTCTGTACAAAACTACTCATTCAGTCCACATGCCAAAACATTTTCAATGTGCATGAAGCCATGTCATCCGATTAAAGCAAGGGTAACACACTACAGCTTCAATTCTTTTAAACTAATGAACTGTCTTAATTTTTCAATCAAATATCAAATAATAAAAAGTACCATTTTAATGTTGTTGTAACATTCAAGTAAAAAAATTTATGTAATAAATATCAATTAATTCTAAATGCAGTAGTTAGCAATAAGTGGTTCCCCTCTTGCACAAGGTGTTAACATGCAAATTGAGGTTTGGTGAAAACTCTAAACTGCAGGTAGATGCAAATGTGAAAGTAATGAAAGTGTATCCGTGTTAACTTTGTTGTAGATTCGAGACCTATGGTGCAAACTGCCTCCCTTCCTCAATGAGACTCTCTACAGGATATGCAAATAAAAAACAGGAATTCCAATAAAAGACCTGGAAAGGGGCGCTGGTGGCACAGTGGTTAGTGCGCACGCCCGTATGGAGGCTATGGTCCTCCAAGCGGGCGGCCCAGGTTCAAATCCCACCTGTGGCTCATTTCCTCCCATGTCATTCCCCTCTCTCTCCCTGATTTCCAACACTATCCACTGTCTTATCTCCCCATTAAAAAGGCACAAAAGCCCAAAAATAAATCTTTAAAAAAAAAAGAAGACCTGGAAAGATTTCAAACCCAAACTCACCGTGGGAGATCTGCACGTCGCATACATAGCGCTCCTTGCGAGGAAATTTGTGTGGTATGACAGCAAGATCGGCAATGCCCTTCATGATGTCATCCCAAAGCACTGCCAGCTCATCAGGGCACTCCAGGTTCCGAACCACATCTGATGGTACGGTGAGGATGATGTTGGCAAACTCTAGCTCTGCCCAGGGTGCGGGAGCTGTACGCAGCAACGACCATTCAGCTGGTGTTGTCACACCTGAAAAGATTAAAGGGAAAGGCCGGGATTCAAAATTGGCCTTTACTAAATATTGACTTCAGAAAACTGCCCGACTGCCAGCCTCTTTATTAACATGGTCAAGCAATTGCATCATTAAAGTAGATTACCTACTCTGCCCTGCTCCAAAAAGAACTGGGGAGATAACGGGGGCCAAATAGGTAAATTTTCCACAAGACGTCTACAGGACAGACTATCAGAACACAAATATAGCATCTGAACTGGTAATGTGAACTTCCTCATGCCAAGAGACTACTTCCAATTCCACCATAGCAACCCAGACACATTACAAGCCTTATGTGGTTTAGACCACATCCCAACTTACCTGAGGAAATGTGACAGACAGAAAAAGCGGAACCAGCAGGAACCTTTGTGTATGTATAAATGAAAGGCTACAAAACACCCCGGCCTTAACAAGGACCTTGATCTCACTGTGTTCTTGCACATCCCGTATAGTCAGCATCATGACTTGATATTAGAGCCAGACCGATTAATCGACTAGCCGATAATATCGGCCGATATTGGCATATCCATTGACTATCAGTATCGCCTAATTTTATCTCAGATAAGCGCCGATATTATTAGATTTATTAACCTGTCAAAAAGCATTTAATCTGAGTTTCATTGTATTACACTAGCAGTTCTCTTTCACCAGCAGAGGGCACTATATGGATTGCAACAAGCATCATCACTCTCCAGAGTGTCAAGCAGTGATGCACGTACATGGGGAGTTACTTTCCAGTTGAGTGACCATCTTGTCTTCATTATAAATCTTTACCACAAGTGTTTGATAACTGCATTTCAAGGATTAACACAATAAATCTATCAATCCTGATATCGGTATCAGCCCCAAAAATCCCATACTTGTCGGGTCCTACTAGTAATGTTTTTATTCCCCTCTTTTAAAAAGATTTAGGAACATTCTCAGGGAAACTCCATTGCTAGATATGACACATTTTCTTTCAAGACTCACCAGATTTATAGTATGGTGCAGGTACAGCAATCTGCACTTTGACCTCTAGCCCATCCTCTTTTGTTTTGGGCGGGACCACCAGGTAGATGAGACCCCCCCACAGGTTCGACACCAACATCATCTCTGCGTTTACAGGATATTGCTCATGAACACACCGTGCTCTCTTCAGCACATTCGTCTTGAGAGTGTCTGTTTGACAGCCAATCTGGACCTGAAGATGACATGGAGTATGATTAGTTACTGATTGAAAAGGATGCAAAGTGGACCGGTGGACATGGTGTGTTAAAATGTTGTGTTACAGCTGGGTACAAAAAAAACAAAAAACGAGTGACATCCCTGAAACTACATCCATGTTTTACACAGTCTGCGGGATGAAACCTTAACCTTACAATGCTAGAACAAAGCATGTTGTTTGGAAATTCTGCAGTTGCCATGTTCGTTTTCTGGAACCAGTAGTAACCACATTTGGAACTCAAGGTGCTGCTGGAGGTAACGAGGAGATTTGTAATAACAAAGCAATAGTCTATCCAGTACTGGTTTGATTCAGTTGGTGGGGCCGCCCCCCCATGTACAAAGGCCTCAGTCCTCATCGCACTGGCCGCAAGTTCGATTTTGAATACTGACGCTACCGACATGGTGCATGTCCTGCCCCCTTCTCTTTTTTCAACATTATTGCATTCTCACATTTCCTGTCCCTCCCCAGCTTTCCTATCACTTAAGGGGGAAAAAAACAAATAAACCATTTTTAAAACATATCAATAGCACAGTACGAGATTCTATTTGATTTGCAGTACTTAGCAGACGCACTGCTCAATAGTGGCAGGTGAACAACAAAAACCAGGTGACTGAATTTGCTCCGAGTTTCTGAGTTAAAATTGTATACTTCAAATACTTCTAGGGGGTGTTCCTGATGATGCATCAGACCGGCAACTCAGAATTTCCTCCTTCTGAGATAACAGATGAGTTAAATAGAAATTTAACGTCACATGGTTGAAATAAATGAGCCTTAGAAACCAAACTTTTTTTGTACCAGGCTGTAATTTTTTTTATTTTAATGTAGGGCCTCAGGAGGATTGACTCATTTTTTAAACTTGTCTGAAGTGGCCAATCATGGAACTCCTTTTACTTCTTTTCTCAGCCCCGGAGGTCAACAGAAACACATTGACCTCAATAAGTCTTTAATGTTGCGAGCAGTACCTTAAATCCCTTGTTGACAATCCGTGCTGGTAAGGAAATGTAGGTCTTCATGCCAGGAGACAGGTAAAGACCTGTACTGACCCACTCTAACCCTCCTTACACACACAAAGACACACAAACAGCCAATTTTAGATCACTTTTACTTTTAAGAACGAGCTCTCTAGATTAATGTGCCGTAACTGTCCTGCAAGATTTTGACTTTAAGTGTTAATGAGTCCTTACCTGCTGTGTCAACATTAATTGTGACACAGTGGTTGTAGATCACTGGCATTGCGGGATTATCCTTGATGAGGTGGGGCAGGAGGGCATCAGGATTCGAGGAAACCTTGTACAGCTCTGGCCCCACACTGAGGAGCAGGAGGTCTCTTGGAGTCTTGGCGGGGCAGGTGTCACAAACCTTCCAACACAAATATTATTACATTATGATTGTTCTTCTAACACCTCTGTGTGGTTGTCAGCATTGTCTTTGTGTTCTCTCACCTGAGGCATACCCGCCTTCATTAAGACATGAGTGAGGTTGGAGACCACCTGTGTGTAGGAGCAGCAGTCATGAGCGTTCATGTGCAAGTAGGAGGCTAAGTCTTGGCCCAGCTTTGTCAGACCTTCCTCATCATGCTTGCTCAGTGCTTCCCCTTTGGTAACATGGCAATGAAAGCGGTGGAGCAGTTGGCGGAAGTGGTAGTTTTCTTTGGCCTTGCTCGGCTCAGGGGCTTTGAATGTACCTCCTCTGATTATTGAACCCAACATGCTCAAGCCCAGTTTGTTCAGGACATGGTTCCCTGAAAGACATGACAGCAGACCTCCTATGAAACCCAGTGCCCTGTATCTGACTTTTGATCCCAAAAAGCAATGATTGGCAAAGCATTCGTTCTTTTGTCTTTCCAAGATTACAAAACCTGATCTTGTTATGAGCTGATACCGAGCATCGATTGAAAACAAGCTGTATGCTATTCACCCTGTAAGTGAGTGATAGACTATATAAATGCGATCATTTTTGCATTAAGTCTCTAATTTTGAGTTTTATCAGCATGTTATGATTACCTTAAGGTTGCAATATTATCCTCCTTTTTGACAAGTTTAAATAAGTTTCAGAAGTCCGCAAAACATGTCTGTGAAGTGTCTTGTTCTAAATCCACTCTGATCCTGTATTTGATCATGCCTATAAACCCCTCTATTTCAGCCCTGATCAGAACAGGCTGTTTCTGTGTCTGTACCTTTAAATGTAAATGAGCTGTGTCTGACCACGCCCCCTCTCTGGAAGGGCTTGGACAGGGAAGACTCAGAGGGCAGAACAAACTGTGAGAGTGCCCCCCATTTGTGGGAGGGGTTACTGCCCTTTGTGATGTCATGAAGGGAAAATCTCCAAACGGCCTGTTTTAGCACACATTTTCTTGAAAGTGAAACAGGCAAAAGACAGAGAATGGACTTTTGTCATAATTGAGGGGTTTGTAAACAGACTAGAGACACATATTAGTGTTAGGACAACATGGTGAAGTGTATTTGCATAAATACGCACTAAGTAACATTGAATGAATTGTGTCAGGACATTTAGACAGCAGCCCCTTGGCTTTTTTTTTTTTACATGCATTACATTATGTCATCATGCAATGATTTCAACCACATTGTCATAGTGCATTATCATACCTGGGTACTCTGAGAATATATTTAGCCCAGGGTTCTTCTGTGCCCAGTACCAGGCGTGTCCAGCCATCAGGAGGCCTCCTCCCTCTGCCACAAAGTCTTGAATTTCCTCTGAGTTAGCATCGCTGTACGTCGTACACACGTATACACTCAGGTCATCTCGGAAAGTTGACGACACACAATTTAACCCAGATTTGCTGAGATTGGCGAGTGCATGTTTGTGCGAGACACCAACAACTCCCTTACGGCCTTCATCCAACCAACGAAGGGCGTTGCTCCAAAACTTAGTGAGGTTCTGCAGCAATGGCAAGATGGCAAGAAAGTAGTCGTTCGTTAGTCACATTAAAGATTTGACACAAGTGCACAGACGGCTGCTGTTGGTCAGAGGTCAGAGTACAAAAAAAAGGCAAAGATGTCAGACTTCAATTCACATTGTTTCAGAATTTTATAATCCAGTCCTGGACATTATGACAATATAACCATAAAGTCCTGACATTAAATTCATACATTTTTACTTGATGGTTTCAATCATAGTTAAGCACGCCTTACGCACTCTTATTCCTCTGACTCTGCCACTCACCCCGCCCCATAAAACCCTGTGTTGGAGCGCAGTCTATTGCTCTTCTACATATATCTGACCTTAACATCCTAACCTTTATCCCTCGACCCCTACCCTCATCCCTTCATTCCTCCAACCTTTACCCTTATCCCTCCACCCTTACCTTTATCCCTCAACACTTACCCTCATGGCTTTGTCTCTCAACCCTTACCCCCTCCCTTCATCCCACATCCCTCAAACCCTCCCTTCATCCCTTTGCCCTTAACGCCCCCCTTGATCTCTCGACCCTTACCCTCATCCCTCAACCTCTGCCCTCAACTCTTCATCTCTCCATCTATCGACTCTCATAATCTAACCTCACTCATCACTTCTATCCTTGCCATACATATTGAAATAAACTATTCTAAATTCATATCTTTCTTGGCGTGGTCCTTGTTGTTGAATTCATTCTAGTATGTGCTCATTTACACTCTACCTCTCGTCCCAGGAATCCTTCATGTGTAATCACGATGATACGTCCCTGCCCATAGTAGGCTCCTGCCAGAAATGCCTTTCCATCAGCGGTGGTCCCGATGGGAAAGGCCAGCGGGCCGTGAACCAGAATCTCAGAACAGACGCTACCACCCGACAGGTCAAACTCTGGAACCCCCTCGAGTAAAAACTCAAGGTCATCCTCAAAGTCCTTTCCAATACTGTTGGTAAAAGGGAGAGATTAGACCAATCAGAGTGATGCAGTCCAGTATATCACAGTTAGGAACACAAATATAAATGTTTTCTCCCTTTTTTATTAGATTGTGACAATATAAGAAATGATGATATGTGTTTTCACTACAGACTGTAAACAATAGAGGATGAAGCCATTGAAGTTACTGAAGGGGGCTTTGGAAGCCCATCAATGGTGGTCGCCATTTTGGAAATGCTATCAAACCCTATCTTTCAGTCAACCTAACGACAGGCTGACAGCTGGAGCTGAAAGTGGGTCTTCAGCCTCACCCGTCAGTCAAGTCAGTCACACCCCAATTATGTATAGGCACTTATCCTTCATAAAATCAAAACAGATGAATTGTAAAAATGTTAAAAATCACTCTCCGTTCCCTGTGTGCCGATCGAGACGTGAGCTAATCAGACCAAAATGTTTTTTTGTACCAGACTGTAAACATGTTAATTTCTGCTGTCAAATGGACATTTTAATATTGGGCCGTTTGTAGGTGGACTTAAGTGGACATTTGGGGAACTGCAGTTTTTTGCACTTCCGCATTGGCTTCACAAATTTAAAACCAGAAATTGCTGCTAGATTGTATAGTAACGTATAGTATCGGAGGGTTTTGTATCGTGTTTTTAAGTTAAAATCTGTCACTTTGCATATAGTGGAATTTGCATTGAAATAAAATTGCAATGTACACTCACACTACAGCCATCCAGGACGATGGGATCTGTGGGAACACAGGGACGCACTCTACCGCACCACAATGCTCTGAAAAGTAGATCCCTGCCACACCAGACACCTTGTTCCCTTCAAAGAAAAGCAGTGTGTTCTCCTTAGGGTGCACCTTAGACCAACTCCACGCCTGCCCTGCTATCAGCACTCCTCCTCCATCTTTCATGAAGGCCACCAGGTCCTTCACATCTGAACCCACACTGTAGGCATTGGTCACGTACACACCAACCCCCAGACTTTTATCAAAGGACCCCACAATTTTGGATTGAAAGGAGGATTTGCTGAGATTATCAGCGACCTCCTTGACGGATTTGTTGACACCCACAGACGGGTTGTCAGATCCCTCTCCTCTTAACCAAAACAGAGCATTCTCCACCAGAGCAGGAAAGGCGGTGAGATAGCCCTCATGACCGAGGACCACTATCCGTCCTTTGCCGTACAGAGAGGCAGCCATCAGGACCTGGCCTTGGCTGTTCACTGCTAAAGGAAAAGCATGGTCTCCAATCAGAACCAGGTCACTGGGAACACGAGGGCCGCTGAGGTCCAGCTCTCTCAAGCCTTTCATCACAGCGACGTAGGCACCTTCATGGTGGTTATAGTTGGGCTGAGTGGCCATGATTGACAATCTGGAAGTCAAAGGAAGAAGGTGAGATGGCAGATGGATGTAAGCTTTTCTGGTTCCTGAGGTTGAACAATTATCTGGGTGTAAATTGAGTCAGTTCGTTGTCCTGTGTCTTTTATGTCCCCTAACAAAGACTAAAATAAAAAAGTTAAAGTACAACTAATGACTAATGTATTACACAGTCATAAGAATTAATTAATAACAACTAAATGTTTTCATGATTTAAGAGAAAAATGCAGAGTTTAACAGTTTTTTGTAAAACAAGCAACCACTGCCAAAAACCACTAAAAGTACGTTTCTATACCTGGATGTTCGGTTGTCTTTCAGCTGGTTTTTATTTCACTGCCGTATCCCAGACAGACGATCCAACGAGAACACCACACCTGACAGGGCAGACGAGACAATATAAAGGTGATCCTGAGAGAACAGGTTGAGGTAGTTGAGCAAGTACAGCCCAGTGACAGACTTTTAATGATGGCCAGGATCAAACATAAGAGGACAGCTAGGGTACACAACTCCAGTCTGTCAACATTCATTCCTCACTGAGTGAATATGTCAGCGCTCACACGAGGTTTTGCATGAGGACACACCCTGGGTGAGACTGTTTAATAAACCTGTTTATTCAGTCAGCAAATGTCAATATTTGTGGATGTAGACGACACAACACAAAACTTGGACGGAGAACTGAACCAGTAGGAGTGGTTTAAGTCTCTTTAAACATCGTGTGATGACCTTGTTTAACACAGAAGATGTGTTTGCACTTTCTGTCGTTATTTTTGAACGGTTTAAATGTGTTTTTTATGTCGCTGTTATTACGAGTGCTTTATAGTTTAATAAAAACTAAAATGTTTCTTTAGATCATGATCATTTGAGTTTCTCAGTTTGTGGATTGTTGATTAAACAAATTAAAACATTTAAACTTGTCAGAACGTATATCTACTAGTTTATTTTCAGATTTTCACATCTTTAAATTTTAAGTGTATTATTTTTAGGAAGTTAAGAGAATAATCAATATATTCAAACGCTCATGCCTTTTTACTTGTTAGAAACTCGACCTGTTCTTATGCTTCCGTCGTCTGTGTAACATCAGTCTGTCTGTGTTGTTGTTTAGACACTGTAACATAAAATGTAAATCAATGATTATCATAAATGTGAATGTAGCATGCCGCTTATGTTCGGATTGAATTTCTATTGTGGGTTTTTCATTTTACCAGGAAGTAAGTCTTGAGACCTGGCAGAGTAAGCAGCCAAAACCCATCAAAAGACAACATTAATACAAGGCTGTTTTGAATGTACCGACTGGGAAGCGTTTGAATGCACAGTTATAAATGAACATACTGATATAGTAACATCTTACATTAATTTCTGTGTAGATAATGTGATCCCTACCAAATAGACAAAAACATATGCAAACACTAAACCCTGGATTACCGCTGAGATAAAAATGCTTTTAATTGAAAAAGAACAAACTTTTAGAATAAATGACAGATATAAAGGGAAACTAATACATAGAGATATACAAATGAAAATGAACGAAGCAAAAATGGACTACAAAGCTAAAGTTGAGCAACTACTTACAGACAATAAAGGAAGGGAGGCTTGGCGTGGAATTAAAACAATGATTGGCTTGAACACCCAACAGAATAATGCTTCATAAACAATTGAATTTGCCAATGACATGAACAACTTCTTCGCACGATATGAGACTGATAGTCAATCCCCATTGGAGCCTGAGGCAGACTGGAGAAAATATGGCACTCCTATTCAAATATAACTGAGGAAGTCCAGTTTGTATTTTCCAAGATTAATGTAAAAGAAATCCATCGGCCCAGATGGGTTAGACGGTAATACGCTTAAAAAATGCTGTAAGCAGTTAGGTCCTGTGTTCACACAACTTTTCCAAGCTTCCTTAAATTCACAATTAATCCCAAAATCATGGAAAATATCTAAAATTATCCCATTACCAAAAAAGACAAGCCCCTCTGAATTCAATGATTTTAGACCCATTGCTCTGACCTCAGTTGTCATGAAATGTTTTGAGCGCATCATTTTATCTCACTTGAGGTCTGAAACAAACAGTAAAATGGATCCCCTACAATTTGCATATCGAGCAAAGAGAGGTGTTGAGGATGCAACGGCTGCATTTCTTAACCAAGTTTATAAACACTTGGAAACACCATCATCTTATGTGCGTATACTGTTTGCTGATTTCTCATCTGCCTTTAACACTGTCCAGATACAACTATTGGCTGTGAAGCTGTGTAGTATGGGAGTTAACCACACCCTCATTAGGTGGATTCATAACTTCCTTTCTGAAAGGCAGCAGTTTGTTACCATCCATGGGAAAAACTCTTCAGTAAATAGCACTCACACTGGGGTACCACAAGGGTGTGTCCTCTCACCTTTGTTGTTTACTTTGTACACCAATGACTGTACAAGTCATCATGACAACTGTAAATTAATTAAATATGCAGATGATGTTCTGGTAGGTCTTTTAAATGACGATGAGACCAATTACAGAGCTGAGCTAGACAACTTTTACAACTGGTACTCTGATAACTCATTGATTTTAAATACAAAGAAAACCAAAGAAATGATTATTGATTTTAGAAGACAGTCATCTCTCTCCCCTGTAAATATGAAGGACACAGAAATGTAAATTGTACCAGAGTATAAGTATCTTGGCACAATAATAGACAACAAACTGACATGGAACACCAACACAAAACCTCTCTGTGCAAGGCAAATTCCCCTACGGGCAATAAAGCTTTCATTCATTCATAATAACACAACATGGGAAAATACAAACACTTTAAAAACATTATCAAATACACAAGTGGCCCTTCATGAAAAACCACCACATGCCTCTGTCACCACCTTCTTTATGAGGCTCTTTGATTTGTTTAGCAACATCAGTGTGTCTGTTTTCAGCTCTTCATCAAGAGTATTTCTTGCCCGTGGTGTATTATAAGAAAAGGCTGTTATCACAGATCTGTCAGCGCTCTGAGGTCCGTAAAGAGCAATAAATTCAAAGATCGCAACTGGTAACCAAAGTGACTCCCATGCCCACTGTCACTCATTTATTCTGCGTTTTAAAAGAGATCTAGACGTGCTTTTAAGAGCTTACAGCAGTATTTGAATTCAGTATGTTACATTATATAAAAATGACTGACTGTAAATTCCCTTCCTGCTTTTAGATTTATATGAACACCTAAATGATTTTGTATTTTGTGACAAGACTTTGCAGATGTTTTTATTTCAATGTTAGGTGGGATACTCCTACAAACCCTTAGGGGATTCTTTTCAATTCAAACAACTTTATTAATCCCTCTTGGGGCAATTAGTGTGGACTTTGTGTCAGCATTTTGTATGTACGTGTCTTCTTCTGTCTTATTTTACTCTTCTGCACATATAAACAAAGAATGAAACCAGTAGGACTGAACTAAAGACGATTACAGAGGAACTTTTTACAGTTTTGCTTTATAAATAAAAACCGGTGCTGTTGTCTGCGAATTGTAAGTGATGTCCACACCAACAAATCACATGTTGGTTCATCAAAATGTCACCATAGAGTAATCACACACAGAAATGTAGCTCGTTGGTACAAAACAAGTAAACTTAATCCAGCAACCAGCTTTTATAATAATAGGCCTAAATGAAAAGAAACCTGACAGTCCGGTTTAGCAGGAAGCTGTTTTATTCTTTAGTTATGCTGCATCACGTTTGGTAAACTGTTAAATGGGAAGACGGAAAACTTTTTCTCCTTAATTACTTCAAATGATGAACTGAGAAACATTTAGCTGAATCGGTAAGTACTTAAGAGAATTGATGATACCGTCAGTCTCACCTTGTGTTTTGTTTAACCTTGGTGCTCTCCCTCCTTGTGTCAGTGACTGAGTGGAAGAGCACACAGGTGACTTACATTAAATGACGGATGGTTTAATGTGGGAGAAACCCGGAAAAGTAAACGGAACCATAAAATAGCTCATGTTTATGTACGAGCTTATTTTTCTGATGGACCGCGGGGGGACACTCGGAAAAAAAAAAAGAAGCCGTCTCCGGTTTGTTTGTTTACCACTGCGTGAATTTAAAAACCTCAGATAGAAGAAGTTGTGCAAAAAGAAGCTGCGTGGTTAATTTCGACTTATTGTACTGCTGCATTGCGAAAAGTATTTCACTTATTTATCTCGCTTCTTTATTTTATTAAAAGACTTTTAACTAAAAACACACCCGGAGGCTCAAAGTAAAGCAGCCCCGCTTACATGTCGTGTACGCTGGTTGGAGTTGGTCCATCCGGGGCTCGGGTCCTCCTAGAGGATGGACGAGCTGTGATTCTGGGCCGGGGTCCGGACACCGGGGTGGCCGATAAGAAATGCTCCAGGCACCAGGGTGAGAAGAGACGGACAAGAGAAACACAAACATGGGTCATTTCAGTGACGCACCATTCACGCAGAACCTTGTATTTCTTATCACGCAGAACCTTGTATTTCTTATACGCAGAACCTTGTATTTCTTATCACGCAGAACAGTGTAGTTCTTATCACGCAGAGCCTTGTAGTTCTTATCACGCAGAACCGTGTAGTTCTTGTAGAACCTTGTAGTTCTTATCACACAGAACTGTGTAGTTCTTATCACGCAGAACCGTGTAGTTCTTGTAGAACCTTGTAGTTCTTATCACGCAGAACCTTGTATTTCTTATCACGCAGAACCGTGTAGTTCTTATCACGCAGAGCCTTGTAGTTCTTATCACGCAGAACCGTGTAGTTCTTACCACGCATAACCGTGTAGTTCTTAACACGCAGAACCTTGTAGTTCTTATCACGCAGAACCTTGTATTTCTTATCACGCAGAACCGTGTAGTTCTTATCACGCAGAACCGTGTAGTTCTTATCACGCAGAACCGTGTAGTTCTTACCACGCAGAACCGTGTAGTTCTTAACACGCAGAACCTTGTAGTTCTTGTAGAACCTTGTAGTTCTTATCACGCAGAACCATGTAGTTCTTATCACGCAGAACCGTGTAGTTCTTGTAGAACCTTGTAGTTCTTATCACGCAGAGCCTTGTAGTTCTTATCACGCAGAACCTTGTATTTCTTATCACGCAGAACCGTGTAGTTCTTATCACGCAGAGCCTTGTAGTTCTTATCACGCAGAACCGTGTAGTTCTTACCACGCATAACCGTGTAGTTCTTAACACGCAGAACCTTGTAGTTCTTGTAGAACCTTGTAGTTCTTATCACACAGAACTGTGTAGTTCTTATCACGTTGAACCATGTAGTTCTTATCACGCAGAACCGTGTAGTTCTTATCACGCAGAACCGTGTAGTTCTTGTAGAACCTTGGAGTTCTTATCACGCAGAACCTTGTAGTTCTTATCACGCAGAACCGTGTAGTTCTTGTAGAACCTTGTAGTTCTTATCACGCAGAACCATGTAGTTCTTATCACGCAGAACCGTGTTGTTCTTATCACACAGAACTGTGTAGTTCTTATCACGCAGAGCCTTGTAGTTCTTATCATGCAGAACCGTGTAGTTCTTATCACGCAGAACCTTGTAGTTCTTGTAGAACCTTGTAGTTCTTATCACGCAGAACCTTGTAGTTCATGTAGAACCTTGTAGTTCTTATCACGCAGAACCGTGTAGTTCTTATCACGCAGAACCGTGTAGTTCTTATCACGCAGAACCGTGTAGTTCTTGTAGAACCTTGTAGTTCTTATCACGCAGAACCTTGTAGTTCTTGTAGAACCTTGTAGTTCTTACCACGCAGAACCGTGTAGTTCTTATCACGCAGAGCCGTGTAGTTCTTATCACGCAGAGCCGTGTAGTTCTTATCACGCAGAACCTTGTAGTTCTTATCACGCAGAACCTTGTAGTTCTTATCACGCAGAACCTTGTAGTTCTTATCACGCAGAACCGTGTAGTTCTTACCACGCAGAACCGTGTAGTTATTACCACGCAGAACCGTGTAGTTCTTATCACGCAGAACCTTGTAGTTCTTATCACGCAGAACCGTGTAGTTCTTATCACGCAGAACCGTGTAGTTCTTATCACGCAGAGCCTTGTAGTTCTTATCACGCAGAACCTTGTAGTTCTTAAATAGGTTAAAGATCAGTTTAGTTTATTTCGGTAATTTTCCAATTTATAAAAAGTCTCATACACAGATTATTATTATTTTAGAATTTACATTATTCGATTTGATTGCTTTGATTTCAGTTTAGATTGAATCAGGGCGATTTTAGGTTTAAAAATGTAGGGATGCTCAGCTCCTAAAGAGATTGTGACACAGTAGTTCTGTTCAGTTGTTTAACACACTCCCCGTACTAATTTCACTGAACAGCTCGTGCTATTCTCCTATTATTATACTAGATTTTATTAACTACGATAATGTAAAATGCACCGATTGGGAAAATCAGGGCTGATACCGAAATTTGCCGTTTTTGATACCAATGTTTGTTTCATGACTTCTGTTGGCGTCAGACTCCCACAATGCCATCATTTTATCTCATGTTTGACATTAAAAACAAGTCAGAGTTTAATCAACCGGTGACTTCCTCTGCCCAATAAAAAAGTTAGTTAGGTGTACAAGTTGTCAGCATTAAATTGATTTGACACAACAAATAAAAAACATCCAATACTGACATCAGTTCATTTGCCAATTTGCCAAGTCAACAGGGACGATATCGGCCAATGCCGATGTTAAACCAATGCATCGGTGCAGCCCTAACAATAATATTAAGTAGGCTAACGTGTCTTTTACGCCACAAAGTAATTATATTTATGGAAATATGGAGTATGCTGTTATTGCATATCATCGTCATTATCATACAGTTGATAACGTCGTTAGGATTTTCACATCAAGCGATTTAGAGATGTCACATTCTGGGACACCTGGTCCTGTTTTCTATCATTTACAGGCACAATGATTCGTGATGGGGAGTAACTGATAATAAAAATAAATTATCTCAGCCCAATAGCATTCATAACTGTCATTTTCTTATAACCGATTAGTCTTTTAACTGTTCCCTCAAATGGTCATCTGACATTTTGATAAATAGTGAAACGTAAAAAGAGGCAAAGCAGACGTATGCAAACTGCAGAATTGTGTTATTGCAAAATGTTTAACTTTGAATAATTTCAGTAAATAAATCAAATAGTTGTAACTTGATTAAGTCTCTTATGAAGTATGTGTTTAGAGATGTGTGTGTCTGTGTGTTTAAATGTTGGTAACAGACTTCATGTCTCCTCCAGTGAAGGTGGTGGCTTGCTATGCAGACCAGGATGTGGTCGTAACTCAGGTATGAAAACAAAGCCTGCAGTGTCACATGATGGTTCAGTTTGTCTCCCTCCCTGTAAAACACCTCTGACTAGAAAAACACCTCTGCCAGACGACACTCAACAAACACCACACAGAGTTAATATTTGGTGTTGCATAATGAAAACATCTTCCAGCTCATAAAGTTTTTTCAAGTTTTTTATGTCATCAGACCTTTCTCTTCACTGCTTGGACACACCCTGCTTATCTCCAGTCCTCTAAACTAACTGTATAACAAATACTGAGAGTCCAATGTCCACGCTTGTCCTGTTTTTTTTTATTCCTCAGCTCGGTCCCAATCCAAGTTCTCTTGACGGCGAGCAGCTGAGCCGTGGTCAGTCTGGAAAACTCAAACACGGAGGCACACTCTACCTTGTTAACCAGAACCATCCATTTAAACTGCACTTTGCCCTGAGTTCAAACGGAGCGGCCTCCGGCGCTGCACAGAAAGGACTCAAAACCACAGAAAAGACAAAAGGAGGAAAAAACGAGACCGAAAAAGAGGCGAAGTCCAGTCCAAATCCTAAGCGCAGTATAAAGGATTTCTTCTCTACGTCTCCCATGAAGGTGACACACTGTTAGTCCTTGTGTTTGTTCCTGTTAAGTACATGTATATAACTGTAGATGGAAATGAGTGACACTTTATTCTTTATTATTCTGAGTAGTCCTCCAAAAGACGACTGAGCCCAGAGAGTGGGCACCCTGAGGGGAAGCGCCAGAGGAAAGGCGAGGAGGCCTCAGCCAGAAGGAGGGAGGAAGAGGAGGACGATGAGGAGGAGGAGGAGGAGAGGCTGGCGGAGGAAAAGCTCAAGCAGCTGCAAGAGTTGGCAGAGAAGTCTCTGACAGAAGAGAGTATGAGCCTTCAGCCGTCATCGTCGTCTTCATCTACAAAAGGCTGTCTGAAGAGCAACTGGCAGCAGATAAGCAACCTGTTGCTCTACACGGCTGCTGGTGTCAAAGCGAGTGACAAGGTGGGAGCTGTGCCAGTGGAAAGGCTTTACGTTTTTATCAGTGTTTTGGTTCAGGGATTTTACTGTTTCATGGTGTTGAGGTTTGAGCTTTGGTTAAAGTTGTTCATAATTTAGACCTAACAATAAAAACATGCAACGTTGCAATGAGTGCTGAAAGTTTTGACGTAAGAAAGTAGCTCATGGGGCATAGATGGCCTAGCGGTTAAGTTGCACCACTTGATGGAGGCTATAGTCCTCCAAAGGGGGCAGCCCGGGTTCAAGACCTGTGGGGCCCTGTCCACGATTTCCTACTCTGACTATGACAGTGGAGCGCCTTCAAAATAAAGGTTTTTCCACTACTGTAAAGGGGGGTGGGTGGGGGGTGACAGACGTTGTCTTCTAGAATTTCTGTTTGGCCTGTGCTGCTACGGTGCAAACGTCTGAACGTGTTCTCTTCTTCTTTCTTCCAGATCGCTGGGTTTGACATAGACGGCTGCATCATCACCACCAAGTCTGGAAAAGTGTTTCCCACCACGCCGGATGACTGGAGGTATGCCTGCAATCCCCGATCTCTCCCTTTAACATAGTTTGCTTCAGCTTAACAATGTAACACATGTTTTGGCTTTTATTAGATTTTCTGCTTTATGGTTATTTTCTTTGACTTTTCCACATTCAATTTACAGGATCCTGTATCCCGAGATTCAGCCCAGGCTGGCCAGTTTGCTCAAGAAAGGATACAAGGTGAGAACGAGAAAAAAAACATACTGAACATAACTGGAAACATGGCACTTCATTACCTGGTCTACCCTTCCTCTGCTCCCCTCCCTGTAGGTGGTGTTCTTCACCAACCAGATGGGGATCGCTAAAGGCAAACTGAGACCGGAAGTCTTCAAGTCTAAAGTAGAGGACATCCTCACCAAGCTGAAGCTACCTGTGCAGGTCGGTCACGTTCGAGGTTGACTCTGTAAGATAGACGGGATTAGAGACATTGGTGAAGCCTGGCTGTAAGAAGGACAATATTTGTACCCGAGGCTGGAAATACATATTCTTTTAGTTTTCCCACATGCACTGAGCTCCTTGAAAATACCCAGACATATTTAGGTGAGCTGCATGTGTGAACGCAAACAGCCACACTTTTCACCCTGACTCTACAGAGAATTCTTCCTGCTAGCCCATTAGTAACATTTTAGCGTGGAGTTGTGGTGAGATAATGTGTGAATGCAGAGGGTAACATTCAAAGGAGGGGGGGGGGGTCTATGCTCTCATCCCTCTCGTGAAAAAGATGATATCCTCCCCTTGTTTGTGTCTCAGGTGTTTGTAGCAACAGGTCCTGGCCTGTACAGGAAACCCGTGATGGGAATGTGGAACCACTTGTGTGAGAAGGTAACTGCACACACACACACACACACACACACACACACACACACACACACACACACGAAGAACCACACCTCACATGGGCTATTTTCAGTTGCAGTGAATTAGATGACTCACATGAGACGCCCTTTGATGATTCCTCCCAGCATTCTTACTGTTGTCTCGTGCTTTGTGTGACTCTGAGCTGTCTGTTTAACTGATATGCATGAGTTACTTTAAATGTGTGTTTCCTATTCAGGCAAATGATGGTGTGACTGTCGACAAGACACAGAGTCTTTATGTGGGAGGTGAGTATGGTTGAGTATATGAAGCAGTGTTGCCATAGAGATAACATCCCATACCTGCAGGTGGATGTGTGTTAAGATATCTGATGTGTTCTCTTAGAGATGAATGCATGCACACATTCAGAGTTTAATCAGAAAGACAACTGGACTTGGTTGAAGTTCTGAAAGATCTAGAAGCAAAGAAGCCTTTCACTGGAGAAGTGAAATGTCTTCAAGAATGTCACCAACTAAGTCCATTTGTCTGTTGGATTAAAGCTGGAATCACCATCACCTGAATGATTGAGAAAATGACACACACACAAGCATCCATCTAAAAGTAGAAAACTGAATTTGTCAGGCAGATAGAGCTGAATAAATAACTCTCTCTAATGTGGCCATTAAGCCATGGACTGTAGGTACCATGGTAACAGCTGAATACACATACATGCAAACAACGGGCTGTAGACGCTGGAAGAGTCATACGGTCGCCATATTGGAAATATTGGAAATCTGCAACTAAATTATCGATGATTCTACTAAAAGGCAAAGAGCTGGAGTTAAGGCCGGTCTTAAGCATCCTCACAAACAGCTACAACACCCTACATAATGAGGAGTCCTTGACTTTTGGAGCCAGCCTCAAGTGGACACTAAAGGGACTGCACATTCTTTGAAATTCTACATTGGCTTGTCGGCAGAGAGACACACACACACAGACTCACAGCTTTTGATTCTAACTCTGTGCACAGATGCTGCAGGCAGACCAGAGAACTGGGCTCCAGGGAGGAAGAAGAAGGACTTTTCCTGCAGTGACAGATTGGTAAGTCCGGAGATTTTGACTCTGCTTTGCCGTTGCACAACTCTGGACCTCCTCCTCCTCCTCCTCTTTACCTTGCTGTGTGTTCTAATTTGTCAGCTATTCTTCATACATGTGATCTTAAATGTCATTAAGAGTTCACGTATGCTGCAGCTCAATGTTTCCTGTGCTGAAATAAGAGGATTGTGTTCCAGTTACTTTCTTCCTTCCTGCTTTTGTAGTTTGCTCTGAACATTGGGCTGCAGTTCCACACCCCAGAGGAGTATTTCCTGGGCTGGAAGAGCGCCCCCTACAAGCTGCCTAGTTTTGACCCTGTGAGTACAATTAACAAACTGGCTTTGAACTGTATTTTTTTTCTCCAGGAGAAACCCTTGTTTGTATGCTCTGTATTTTTCAATACGCTTCTTTATCTAAAATCTTAGAGGATAATCGACTCCACTGCCAGGCTGTACGACCCACCATCCGCCTCCCTCGCCTCAAGCAAGACAGAGGTCATTGTTGCTGTGGGTTTCCCTGCATGTAAGAGGAAGTTATGCATCACTTTTTCCTCACCCCACCTTGCACCACAGCCATTCTGATGTTGTCTCTCATCTCTTCACAGCCGGTAAATCCACCTTCTTCCACAGCCACATTATCCCAAAAGGCTATGTGTATGTTAACAGGGTGAGTGGATTTCCCTCCGGTTCTTAAGACACATTCACATCAAACAAGATTGTAACTGTTGGAAATAGGAGTTTCTAGTTTAATTTGCTGTTTGCTACACTTCTTTAATAATTAGAAAATATATAATAACTGCAGTTGGGGATGATTTTGATTCTGTTTGCATTTATAAATCAGTTTTGAGGACTTCCTCCCTGACACATTGGGACTGTTCTTCTTCCCTGTTCTGTTTTGCATCAGGACACACTTGGCTCGTGGCAGAAATGCGTGTCTGAATGTGAGCGCGCGCTGAAAGAGGGCCGTAGTGTCGCCGTTGACAACACCAACCCAGATACAGAGTCTCGCAAACGGTAGAGCACAAACTTATCAGAAACATTTTGTGCAGATGCACCGATGTGTCTTCCTATTTGTGCACTGATTGTTAAAACAAAAAAAAAAAATCAGGTTCAGGTGTTTTATTCTGTGAACTCTGATTCTATGCTTCTTGATCTCTGTTTTGCTGCATGATAATATTCCCACAGCTAACAGGTACATGTAGTGTGAATTCATTTTTCTGTGTTTGTATTTTTTTTTAGATATTTGGACGTGACCAAGGCTGCAGGAGTGCCCTGCCGTTGTTTCCAATTCACAGCCTCTCTGGAGCAAGCCAAACACAACAACAGAGTAAGACCCGCCTCTTTACACCATCACTCTTAATTCATTGTGATGTTTGACCGTGCTGCTGATGTCATTTTTGTCGCCCTCAGTTCCGTGAGATGGCTCCATCCGACGTCAAACATGCCAAAGTCAGTGACATGATTTTTCACAGTTACAAGTAAGAAAAAAAGCTTTCTTTTCACTCTTTTGCTCGTTTAAAAACCAACAAGTATGGGCCAAAACGTGGGCTAAAAAGCAGTTGAAAACATGTCACCCAGTGGTTTTAGCTTGTAAACATTTTAACAAACTCTACCTCATCCTTGTGAGTTTGAAATTGAATCAATATTTTTTGTATTTCTGCAAGTAAAACTTTTTTGAACAGTTAAACCGTGTCCTAACAGCATTGCAATGCGATCAAGCGTCAGATTCAGCTTGATTTAATTGTGTCCTATTTGAAGTTTCCCAACAGCCTGCAACAAAGCAGTGCGAAACAGCACGATGATCCTTTTTGCCCTGAAGCCTCGTTCGTTTCTATTTCAATCCTGCCCGCACAGGAGGCGGCTCTACAAGGCGCTGAGAGCGTCAGGGGAAGCTTTTCTTTTCCTTTTCTTAATTTAAATCGTTAGCGTGTTTTACAAAGTGGAGATATTGATGAATTTTTTTAATATCCACATCCGTGTTGAATTATCTTTCTTTTGACTTGTTTCAACCCCCCGGAGAAAAACTTTATTCTGCTCACAGTGAGCCGTTTATTGACGAGCTTTGAGTGTTGAGAATTGAGTCAATGACTCGTCAATACAAAACACCACGTTATGATGTTTGAGAGGTGGTTAAGTGCCTTGCCAAAGGCCACATCATACATGTAGCTGCAGGAGCTGGGTATCGAATCCCTGAACTTCTGGTTGAAGGGTTAGCTTGTGTGTATTTTCTACTCACAGAGAAGAGATGTTAATATTTGACGGCTTGGGTATGTGACTGTCCGATGCTGCTAGATGCGACGTGATATCTAACTACGTACTATCTGCTCTAATCTCACTCCCTCTCTCTGGACAGGAAACATTTTGTGGCCCCTGCGCTTTCTGAGGGATTTTCAGAGATCCTCCAGATCCACTTTGTCCCAAACTTCAAAGACAGCCAATCAGAAACCCTGTTCCGGCAGTTTTCAGAGGGCTGATTGGATTCTCTCATTGACAAATCCATCCTGTGAAGCAGCTGACAGTTGACTAAAAATACACCAAGATTGTCTTTGCGCTGAGATGAGAAATAAAACGATGTGACAACAAGCAGAGTTTCTCTTTTTTGATGCTTTACACTGCATGAGATAAATGCACCACGTCTATACAAATCACAGTATACCATTTGTCAATAAAGCTTTGAAAAGCTCGGACTTTGATGTTCACTCAATATCAGGCAGGAACTGGATCTCGTCTTTGAGATGCCTTTTCAGCCAGGGCATTATCTTGAAGAGGTCGATGTGAAAGTCTCGAGCATCAGGGGGCGGCTTGTCACTCCTGTAATGCCTCAGTGCTGGGTTGAGGTTGTTGCAGACATCTGTGGTGCCCCAGCTCACGACTCCCACCTGGTGGCAAAAGCAGGAAAGATAATAAAGTTTATTAATAGAGCACTGAATAAACCAATGTCTCAAAGTGCTTTACAAAGCACAAAATGCTCTGTCTCCTTTAGACTTTATAGGTCCAATCAGTGAGATGTGTAGTGAGTGAAATGATAAAGGTACTTTACTATATGATCAGACATTAAGGAAACATGCTATGTTTATGTGCTTGCTTCTCTGACAACAATGCAGCAGCCAGTATGTCCTCCTTCTAACTTTAGATTCTGGTCCTGAATGCTCTGGATTTGTTTGGACCAGAGAAGGTAGGCGGTTTTAAGGCACCCCCACACGGCCGTTTTGGACACCCCTCGGTTTGCCAGATATGAGAGCAGTTATCAGGTCAAACCAACAGGTGTTGCAGTGATGGAAGCAGCAAGAGAAGTGGTTCAGATAGAAGTGATTGTACCCGACCTAAAAAGCCTCTGCATGTTTCTAATAAGCTCCACGAGCAGAAACGTGCTCAAACTAGGATCAATATTGGAGATGCTTTTGAAAAATGGAGAGAGGTTAGAACACAGAAAGGTTTACAGACTGATGCAGAACTAGTTAAACACTGAAGCTTCAGTGTCCACCACATGACAACCTGCGTGAGCATCAACTCCAGAGAGGAGGGGGCGGAGGGAGACAGCTCTCTAAAATGTTTTGAATGTATTTTGACTGCGGTACCCATTTTAAACACTAGGTGTCAGAGTTACATATTGTTTCAGGTAGGAACAGTGAGGAAATAGGCAGCTAGTGTAAGGTCATTAAAAAGGGAGGAATATGTTACATTTTCTGTTTAAAGCCTTGCTGCAGAAATGTGTGTGATGAAAATAGTGTACGAGGTTGTTGTTTTCTTGTGTGTGTGGAAAAGTAGCCCACCTGAAAGTAGCGCTTCCTTTTTTCCAGAAACAGTGATCCTCCAGAGTCACCTGTACAGCAACACACAGAATAATGTAAACTACATGCACTGTAGGTCACACTGTGGTGGTTATAATAACTCAGCAGGGTTAGAATCCCGACCTTTACAGCTTATAGTGTAGTGGTATCCCGAGGAGCCCCCAGAACAGAGGAATCTGTCAGGTACGTACTCCTCCAGTGTCACATTGGTCGGCTCTTTGAGGGTCTGTTTCGCCTTCTCTACACAGCCAGGCCTCTGCACACACAAAACATAACTTAAACACTCTTTCATTACTCTTTGTTATTTACCATCTCCAGCTTTAATCTCACCTCACAAATTTAATGCAGGAATGAGAAAATTGGGTGTTATGTTGAATTTCTACAGATACCTGGCAACTTGGGGTTAGAGGGGAGGGAAATACTGACCAGCTACACTGACCAGTGTAAAGCCTGCTGGAATTCTATCAGAAGAAGAAGCAGCTCACCTGACTTCCTGTTTGAATGTAAGTTCCTTTGCGTAGGGAGTTCTTATGAATGAAAAAGGCAGCAGTCTCCTTGTCAGGAAGTAGTTCCTCCCCTGTAGGCACACATTCATCAGTGTTAATTCAAACTAGTTAAATCTGATCACATTGCTCTTTTAGGATCAATATTGGAGATGCTTTTGAAAAATGGAGAGAGGTTAGAACACAGAAAGGTTTACAGACTGATGCAGAGCTGGATAAACACTGAAGCTTCAGTGTCCACCACATGGCAACCTGCATGAGCATCGACTCTAGAGAGGAGGGGGCGGGGGGAGACAGCTCTCTACAATGTTTTGAATTTGGACTGCAGTACCCATTTTAAACACTAGGTGTCAGAGTAACACTAAGACCAAGGTTTAGACAGCATTTCCGATATGGCGACTGCCATCGATAGGCTTTACACGATTCTGTCAGTAACCAATGGGGGACGTCAATGAGTCTCTGAGGTGTTTTTTTTGGGTCTTCCCTAAATATTACCACTGTTTGAACAGGATAAACAGATTGAAAGAATCTGGTGTACTCTTATCATGAATGCTTAGGTCATGAAAGGTCACATACTGTGCTGCTGACATGTAGAGTTGACTCTCTTCATGGCTCGGCTGGCTGGCACGGTGCACGGCAAGCAGATAGGTCTGTTGAATGACATACACAATACAAACACTCGGCACTATATGGGGGGAATAAAAGACGATGCCAACACACACACAAGAGAAAACAACACCTTTTTTCTAAAAATAAATAGGTGAGCATTTATTCTCAGGTCTTACCTGGCCTTCCAGGAGAGAGGGATACTCATGTTCACCTGCACCAGAGCTACATCGTAGTCGTAGAACTCGGATACATTTCTGTGTCTCAGTGCTCTTGTGTTGTACTTGGGGTGCATGATCACCTTCTTAGGAACCACCGCACCCTCACCTGGAAACCAGAGAAGCTGCTTATTATGATTTCAAAACAACAAGGATTTAAAGCACAGATGGATGACGTAAAAGGTAAAGTGAACCCAACATATGTGGAGCTTTTCCTACTGACTGGCTGCAGTACAGATCATGTTAACAGATAGGACATGGTTCAAATCAAGATACATGTCTAATAAACATTTTTAGACATGATTTCTGTATTGGCCAATATTGGCCCTGTTGAAAGAAATCGGCACATCTGCAAATAATGTGGCATGATGTGTAATGTTTCCGCTAATCTCAAATAGTTTCCGGCACTGACCCTGACTATGCTGTATGAACACCTGCTGACGGATACTGTCTGTACTCGCTCTGGCAAAACAGTGAGCTGCAGTCAGCACCCAGTTGCTGCTCACAATAGATCCAACACATGGCGTCGACTAGAAGGAAGAAAGAAAGTGTTAAAGTGTGAAAATGTAGAATACAAAAAAAAAAGTTCTGCTGTGACTTTCATGTTGTAGTACGTAAAACTAGCTCCCACCGATTTCACAGAGACATGCCAGGGTTTGGTGAAGATCCCTTTGACATCCTCCTTCTGCTTCTTGGAGATGTGTTCCTGAGCTACCCCACACATCGTCACACTCTTGTCACCTGCATAATGAAACATGGCCACTTGTAACGGATATATTGGCATTAAGATTTAATTACAAATCTCAAATGTTTCAAAATGGTGCTATGTGTGTCTGTGAGGTGCATGTGTGAACAACCAGATCAGGAACATTTTCTAATAATTTGTCAGTAGTGCTAGTATGATAACAGCTATAAAACAATAAATGAATGAATTGTGGAAACACAAGCTCTTTTGCCATGGAATTGAGAGAGGGATTTTATTTTATTTTCACTTACTAATGATGCTGTTGAACACTGCTCCCAGTGTTTCGTAGTCCTTCAGAACAAAGACGTGCTCCTCACCACGTTTTTTTGAAGCCAAAGAGTTCAACTGATCTCTTTTCACTCGGTCTCCGATACCAAACACATAGACATCTGAAAATACACACACAAATGGACATTTACTTTACACACACATACACCACTTATGTGTTACAAGTAAAAAACCATTGCATGCCTGATATAATGTTTCTTTACTGTGAGGTTGTTGAAATGACTTATTATTCAATTATCCATCCATTCATTATCTAAATAGCTTGTCCTGTTAGGAGTTGTGGGGGGCTGGAGCTGATCCCAGCTGCCATTGGGTGAGAGGAGGGGTTACACCCTGAACTGTTCACCAGTCAATCACAGAGCTGACATATAGAGACAGACAACCAGACACACTCACACCAAAGGACAATTTAGAGTCACCAGTTAACCTAACGAGCATGTCTTTGAGGATTCTAACCAGGAACCTCCTCGCTGTGAGGAAACAGCTCTAACCACTGCAACACCAGAAAACCTTATCTTTTTATCATCATACCCAGCATGGTCTCTTGTGTGTGATCCGGGGCTATGTTGTGGTAACCCAGGAGGCTCCTGAGCCGGGCCAGCTCAAGCTGAGGTTTGGAGCCTGTGTTGGTGAAACCTGCAGAGAAAAAAATGTCAGACACCTACACCCTTCAAAATAAGTTCCCTTATTACGTTCCCACTTTCATTCAATAAGTCAGAGAGGTTATCAAATGAGTTTTATGCGCTGGAGGATCTCAACAGATATGAGAGACATTGGTTGTTTTTACCATCTGTTTCTATGACGATGATGTTCTGAGTCTCATTAAAATGGTTTGTGGCGCTGTTTTGCTTTAAGAAGGCGACCATCTCACTGACACGCTTCAGGGCAGCATGCAGGTTGGTGCCTGTCTTACTGCCGTGGCCTGCATATAAAACATTATGTAAAAGTTCATAGCATACTTTACTTATTGTAATTTTCTCATAAATACTGTAAATGAATGAAGCAGTAATAAACACAGTCCTACTATGGTAGTCGAACTCCATCAGATTCCATATGACGTCGCCAACGCTGCTACTTATATCTGAGTCTGTGATGTTGACAATGTCTATAGCCACGCTGGCAAATGACACCACATGAAACTTCAACTGCACCTCGTAGCTCTCCAACTAAAAAAAGACATGTAGGAGTTACAGCCACCGAGACAGGATGACAGGGAAACAGGTAATCTTTTTATTGCTACAGACCTTTCTTATTAGAGCAATGGTGGCCTCCCTGGATTTTTCAAAGTCCTCCTTTGTAATGCTTCCCGACGTGTCCAGTAAAATAAAGACATTCATGCGACTGCCTTCAGCCACACGGAAGGTACGACCAAAAGAGCTGCTTTCACCTAACACACACAGAAAGTACTTCACTTAATGGGCTGAAATATTGCTGAGATATTTAAAGGAAGAATGTGTGACTTTTTGTCCCAGTAGATGTCGTCCTTCAGCACCAGCGTGAAAACAAAACAAACTGCTGTTTGGCTGCACCTCCACTATTCTGAAGCCTCCGCTCTCCTCCAGCGACACACCTCCAACCCCTCTCCACTCACGTTGGCACAAAGGAGTCAAGCACAGGTGGCAGACAAAATTGTCCTTCGCTTGAGCTGCAATTGCCTGTGGCCTGCATTGTTGTGTTAGCATGCTAATGTTAGCGCCCTTTAGTTAGCTCGTAGCTTCACATTGCATGTACATTTACACAGAATGGTGTGATCTAAAAATGCTTACATAGCATTCATAAAAGGAGTGAGTATGTTCTTCTTCTCTCCAGTCCTTGACTAAAACACCTTTTATACACAAGGGGAGGAGTCGACCGTCCCGTCCATGTAAACACGGCTCTGACAACAACACAGCCGGCGGGACTCGAGCTTCTCACTCATTGTAGACAGTCATGACTCAGAGAGACATTTACACAGGATAGACTGGATTTACTGTATTCTATATTTATGTGTTAAATGTCACACATTCTTCCTTTTAAGACACCTATACAAGTTATACTCACTTTCCTGTTTGGCGTCTGGTGAGAGTACATCCATCTTTCCTGCTAGCGACCCCGCCATGACCGCTGCCACAACACTCGGGGAGTCGAAGGTGTTTGGGGCTGCAGTAAGAACAAAGACTTGATGAATTGACATGTGTCATGATATAACAGTTCGCTGTGTGCTGCTCTGGCATCAACTGATGCTGTCTCTCATTTTCTTATTCTATGGTTCTATAAAAGGGCTTTATTATAAAAGCCTGTTATTACAATTTTGCAATTGCAAAAGGCTGTCAGTCTGCACCTTGGCAGCGTGGAGTTGAGCCACTCCACTCCCTGTTCTCCAGGCAAACCCTTTCAGCCGAGCCGAGGAGATCCATACCGGCCTGACACCAGTAAGTCACTTTCTGCCCCGTGTAAAACCGGCCTGGTGATCTCTGGGCCCCAGGTGGGATCCCAGGGTCTTTACAGTCGTCGGATGAATCTAAAGACAGAGGGGCAACATCCAAAAAAAATACACGATTTCATACAACAATGAGTTTCAAGTAAGTGATTTGATTGGACAAGATGTATTCCGGTGATGTCGATAAAGAGAACAACAGCTCTGGGACTTTTAACCATCGCTCTGCGTCAGGTGTTCAGAGCACGCCAGCTAAGCATGTCACATTTAGTGAGACGACCTCCAGGTAAACATAAGGCTGACAATGAATCTACAGCGGACGTCACAACTCCTAAAACAAAGACAAAAAAATATGATGAGTCATGTCTCGCCCTCTGCTTCACCTTAACAACGGTGGGTAATGAAAAGAGACACACTCCTTCCTGGAAGTTTCAATCATAAAGAAGATTTAACATACATAGTTCATTTTTAGGGCGTTGCAAAAGGGGGCCAGGCAGAGAGAGTTTGGGTACCAGTGGCCTAAAGTATACTGGTATTTGTACTTGCTAGGAATAGATTTTTTGTTGTTGCAAAAGATGATTATAAGGTAAAGTTAAGTGGAGTAAATAAGTGTATTCATCCAAATCTGCTTTACGACATAAACCTCATTTTAATTGTGAGATTAGTCCAAGCATGCTCGCTCTACAATTATTCACTCTGATACGCCCCTCGTAAGCTGATGTTCTCAGTAGTTCTCTGTTGCACTCATTAAGAGAAATGTAACCATGTTTGTATTTAATTTAATCATACACAAAGTTGTCTGTCCTCACCATCGTTCTCACAGACAGGAGTAGTTCCCGTCCACTCTCCTGTCAAGGTGCAGTTCCTCTGGGCGGAACCAGACAAGATGAACCCCTCCTGGCAGAAGAAGCTCTGCGTGGCCCCTACATGGAGCCACTGGTCTCTGGGCCAGAAGTCTCCATGATCCAACTGGAGCTGAGCTGGACACAACACATCTGGGATTTTGACAAAGGTGGACAGACGAGCAGATGAGGACATTTTACATAAGTGAAGTATGAAAATCAAAATTCAGACTCTAACCAGAGGAGACCTAAATTCATTCACCCTCAAAAAACATCACCTTTGCATGTAGCACGAGACACCTCTCGGCCACTTGGTAATCTCATGGAGGACCACTCCCCATCTGCACTGCAGGTCCTGTAGCTGACCGGTGAAGGGTATCGTCCCAGGCCGCAGTGATAGGACAGCACACTTCCCTCCATTCCCCCCTGGAGAGGAAACACATGGTCACTTCTGGAGCTAAATTAAGTGACATGAGGTTGTGTCACTTTCCAGATGGTATAGTTCCTTTTTATCATGAAAGGGATTGAACCGTCAGTATTTCAGTATTGTCTCTCTTCTTTTTTATTTCCAGGAATCATACTGACGGATCCTTTTTTTAAAACAATATGCATCCTCTATTTTGCCCTTTATTCTGTCCCTGGAAACTTGGCTGGTTAAACCCTTTAAGACCTTTGAGTTGCAGTGTTTGAGTGCAAGTGCTAAATCCTGCAGTTCGTGGAGGGTCCACTTGAGGCTGGCTCCAAGAACCCTAGAAGTCACATACGCACCCCATTCAAGAACGCATGTTTTAACAGGATAAATTAACATGATTACACCCTGGTTCAAAAATATTTGTTTGATTAGTTATTGTCCTCTTGGGCACACACTGTATGGGGAGTTAATTATTTTACAACCCATCCATTTTGATTTTATGAACGATAAGTGTTATCCATAGTTAGGCGCGTAGCTGACATGACTGACAGGTGGGCGCAGTGTAACAGTTTGTCAGGAGGCTTAAAACCCGCCTCAGCTCCAGCTCTCAGCTTGTCGTTAGGTTGACTGAAAGTTAGGCTGAGGAAGGATTTCCAGCATGACGGCTGCTGCCGATGAGCCTCCAGAGCCCCCTGCAGGAACAGATGTGTGACGTCACTCAGCTTCAAACATTAGTATTTACAGTCTTTGGTTTTTTGTCGCCCTGTACTGCTGTTGTTAAGCCGTTTATCTCCTCTGTTCTCAGTTCCTCACACAACTATTTTTAACCACTTTAACTGAAATTGTGTAACTCTATAAATAAACCATTAAGTACAAGAAAAACAACACTGTTAGGGAAGTTAAATTATGCAGAAACAAAGCCATCCTTAAAGTAGCAATCTTTCCCTTAGAGTAAAAACTTACAACCTAACACTCTGACACTGTAGGATGTAAATTAAAATTGGTATGAAAATAAATAATGATTGAGGAATTCTTGTTGTATAGCATGACATCTTCAGATTGTTATTTTGTCCGGTCATTAAAGTAAAATTCAGAAAGAAATTCAATTTAAAGATGATTAAAGAAAGAAAAGCAGAAAATCCAAGCCATGACCAGAACATATTTTTATGTTTTAAACAATGATTAATACATCATACATTTTTTGTGTGAATTGAAGTGTATGTCAGTCAGTTTCAGCTCCACTGTTCAGGTGTTTGTTTACCTGTGAGTAGGTGACATGTCCACCTTTAATGCTCTCTGTTGTCGAGCAGTTGAGAGGCTGTAGATCCTCGTATGTTCCATAATCATATTCAGATTCCTGCAGAAATACTGGAGCACAAACAGTCAGAGTGGTCGTTATAAACATGTGTACACAGACGCCAACAATGCCAATAACCACACTTGAAATGACAGTAAATGCAACACAAAAAATGTTAGGCTCACCCTCCTGGACGGAGACGAGGAGTAAGATCCACAGTACAGGCTTGACATACATGACTGAGCTCTGTGGCCTTTGTGTCTTTGAGCGACCAAACCACAGAAACCACAGCAAGAGTGTCTAAATCGACCTGCAGTCAGCCGCTTTATTTGATGACTGATTACCCATTAACACAGAGGATCCGATCCGGGAATTGAGGGATTGTGCAATTTTGGACAGAGCACAGATTTGATCCCTTTATTTTCATTTTTGATTGCACAAATTTTTATAAAAGTCTCATGTCATAGGACACTGTTGTTCTTTTTATTTTATTTTTATTTTACATTACCAAATGATTTCAAACAACTGTGAGGTTACAGAATGGTATTAAAGGTCACACATTACAAATGCACTTCACCATGTTTTTCTGACACTAATATGTCTCCCTAGTCTCTCCACAAAAAGAAGTTTTCTTTTGGAGTGAAAAGGTGAAAAATATTACAAAACCCATGTTTTATTTCATTCTTCCTGACCGCCAGAGGAAGTTCTTAACACTGGATTATATCTGTCTTGTGCATGCGCAGGTCGAGTATTTAATATCAACAAAGTCACATGTGACCTGGGATGACGCCTGACGTAGTTTAAATAGCCCGCGTCATCACGTGAGACACCCCTTCTATCTTCTCGCAGGTATCCATGATGCAGGTTGTTTACAGAAGGAAGCCGAAAAAGTTTTTGCTTGGAGCCCTGTAATCACGGTTGGAGCTACGGAATTTCGTCCTCCAGGGGCTGCGATTAGTTACAACGGCTAGGACATTGTTTCACCGTACCGAGCTGTCTGACCGGTGTTTTCGTTGGGGCTCTCAGCGCATTACGGACTGGCTAATGATATCTTGAAGTTGGACTGCTGAGGTAAGTATTATCCCTTCCTTAGCTGTACAGTGATTTCATTTTATTTGGTTGTTTTTTTAAGACAGAACAGCTTAATTGTTTGTTAAGCAGTGCATCTGTAAGCGCTCCCCATTGGTAAACGGATAGGGAGTTGATTTGATTTGTGGGTGTTATTTGCCACTGAGTGTTTTCGCTCCCGAGTAACACTTCCCAGATAGGTAACCATGTCCGACATGTTCGGGTCCCATGTGTGCCGTTCATGCATGGCGTACATCCGCTGCATACATCCGATGGCCATGATGAGTGCCCTATATTCCTTGGTGTGGCACACCTGAGGGAGAGGCTGTCAGATAGTACACGCATGAATTGCAGTTCAACGCTTGGGCTTGAATGAGACCACGGCCTCCAGCGCCCCAGCCAGCGCCTTCTTTAGGCGGGTCCCTCCGCAGACAAGCTTCTTTGTACCACCATCCCAGCCATACATTGAGGAGCTCCACAAGTGCTGGCCAGACCCCAAGTCTCTGTCTCACCACACTTCTGACAGCAGGGCCCTGGCTTCCATGCAGAATGCTGGCAGTTATGGGCTGGCCCAGATGCCAGCGGTAGAACCAGCTATAGCCTCCCTCATTGTATCACCTGATGAGGTCTTGAGACCTGATGCTCGCTGTCCCAGGCCGCAGTGTCGCATGACAGACGATTTTCAGACAGATGATACGGCGGCCCGCATGGGGCGTATTGGTAACTCACTGTCCCATTTGATACTGGCCCTGTCACAGTCCCTGCAGTCCTCTGGCCTGGATGCATCCGTCTAGAGCCTGAGTGACACATCTTTGCAGGCATTTGCCCTTATGACAAGGGAGCTTGGCAGGTTAATGTCAACGCTAACCCTGACTAGGCGCCAGGTATGGCTGGCTCAGTCTCCACTTTCTGAGCCAGGTCAGAGGGCCCTTCGGGTCCTCCCAGTAGTGCCTGGGGAGTTGTTTGGGCCAGCAGCACAGCAAGCCTTAGAGCGTGGAGTCCAGGCGAACCAAACTCGGTTACAGTTTGCTAGCCTTCAGGGCCCTGCGCCCGCTCTGAGACGACGGCCTCAGGGGGGTTATGGCACTGGTCATCCTCGACTGCTGGCCCGGCCTGGTGGCTGCCCAAGAACCTCACAAGCCTTTGAGCGGCCTGATTATCACTGACGGGCTCCCCCACGGTCTGCACCGCAGACCCAGAGAGGTCGAGGGTCTGGGTTTCGCCCCACAAGGGACCCTAAGGGCCAGGGGGGCAGGCCCTGATGCCCCAGGGCCGGCCGTCGGACGATTCTCCGAGCAGCACCTCAGCTACTGGAGAAGCTGTACGTCAGACCCTTGGGTGGTGGCCATGCTTTCCCAAGGGTACAATCTTCAGTTCTGACGCCGGCCCCCAGTTTTCAGTGGGGTCCGACATACCACAGTCAGCGATCCCACAAGACGTCAGCCAGAAGATAGCCAACCTCCTGGAGAAGGACGCCATAGAAGGCGTAAATCATTAGACACAGCAAGGTGGGTTCTACTCAGTGTATTTTCTGATCCCCGAAAAAGAAGGTGGGTTTTGCCCTATCCTAGATCTCAGAGGGCTGAACACATTTCTGAAGGTGTTGCCCTTCCACATGCTGAGAACAGCAGATGTGCTACATGCCGTGACACGGCAGAGTTGGTTCACATCCATCGATTTAAAGGACTCATACTTTCATGTGCCAATCGCACTCCATCACAGAAAATTCCTGCGCTTTGCGCTCGAAGGCAGGGTTTATCAGCTCAAAGTGCTCCCCTTCAGGCTGTCCCTGGCCTCGCGGGTCTTTACACGGTGCATGCGGGCAGCATTGGCCCCATTGCAGGCCAGGGGTATGCATGTCCACCCATACCTGGACGACTGGCTGATCTGTGCCTCGACCCGGAGACAGTCAGATCAGGACACGTCAGCCCTTCTTCACCATGTGTCATAGCTGGGCCTCACAGTCAATTACGCCAAGAGCTGTCTCATACCCAGCCAAAGGGCGGTGTTTATTGGATTGACCCTGGATTCAGGGCATATGCTGAATCCCCGACACAACGCAGAGTGGAGGCCATACTCCAGCTTCTCCTCCGTTTCCAGAGGGACAGGAGGTTACAGTACAGCCTTTTCCTCAGGCTGTTGGGTATGCTAACGTCTGTAACATCAGTGTTGCCACTGGGCCTTTTGTATCTACGGCCTCTCCAGGTTTGGACAAATGGCCTCCATTTAGATCCAAGGGTGCACAGGTCCAAAAGAGTCATGGTGTCCAGCCAATGTCTTCTTGCTCTGTGGCCATGGAGAAACAGGGAGTTTCTGTCCAGAGGCGTCTTGTTGGGTATAGTACCCTCACGTCGCAAAGTTGTAATGACCGATGCCTCAACTTCAGGTTGGGGGGCAGTGTGGAAGTGCAAGCGGTGAGAGGGCTGTGGACAGCGCAGGAGGCTAAGCAAAACATAAATGTGCTCAAGCTCCGGGCAATGCATTTGGCACTCATCGAGTTCTTGCCGTACTTAAAGGGCAGACATGTTCTTGTGCGTTACGACAACATGTCTGCAGTCTACCATATAAATCATCAAGGGGGCACGAGGTCAACCTGACTGCTGCGGGTGGCGCACCGTCTCCTGGTATGGGCTTTCCCTCGCCTTGCCAGCCTCAGGGCCATGTTCCTACCGGGGCCACAGAACCTGGTGGCAGACTTTCTATCTCGCCAGAAACCTCCTTCGGGGGAGTGGAGGCTCCTCCCAGAGGGGATAGAGGAGATATGGCGAATATATGGCAAGGCAGAGGTGGACCTGTTTGCTTCGGGTTCCTCGGCCCACTGCCCTCTTTGGTTCTCCTTGATGGAGACGACAAGTCCTCGAGGACAGGATGCTCTGGCACACCCATGGCCAGATCGTCTTCTTTATGCCTTCCCACCGTTTCCTATCATAGCAGCAATGCTACACAGACTACAGCAGGTCAACCACAGACTTTTGTTGGTTGCCCCGAACTGGCCAGGGAGGCCCTGGTTTCCACGCATGTACAGTCTTCTGAACGGAGTTCCATGGTGCCTGCCGACACGGCAGGGCCTGCTCTCACAGCTGGGGGGCAGCATCTGGCATCCGACTCCGGAAAGCCTGCAATTGTGGGTATGGCCCGTGAGGGGCCTGAACCACTCCTAGCTGCCTGTGACCAAGCGGTTATCCAGACCATAAATGACTCAAGGGCACCCTCCACAAGTTTTTTCAGAATGGTGTTGAGCCCACAAAGAGACTCCTGAGAGTACCTCTGTGCCAGTAGTACTGCGGTTTCTGCAGTCTTTGCTAGAGAAGGAGCTCTCTGTTTCCACCTTAAAGGTATATGTGGCTGCAATTTCGGCCAGGCATATTAAAGTTGATAACCACACCTTGGGGTCTCACACTCTGGTGACCCAGTTCTTAGAGGTGCTCACGGCGAAACCCTCCGCTGGCTGTTAAGGTTCCCTCATGGGACCTGCCTTTGGGTGCTTGAAGGCCTTTAACTCCCCGCCTTTGAGCACCTCTGGGGCAGGCAGGGATTGAGTGGCTATCAGCAAAGGCTGCTTTTCTTCTGGCGATGGCTTCGGCAAAACGTGTGAGTGAGCTTCAAGCCTTGTCGGTGAGTGAGGCATGCATGCGCTGAAACTCGGATGGCACAGGAGTGGCACTTTGGCTTAACCCATCATTCTTCCCCAAGAGGTTGGGGGCAAGCCACTTTAATCAGGTCATTGAGATGGGAGCTTATCACCCCTCATCCTTGCAGGATGTGGAAGCCAATTCAGCAGAGCTGCTCTGCCCAGTTAGGGCTTTGAGACACTACTCCAGGCAACCTCAAGTTTTCACCACTCTGATTGCCTGTTTATCTGCTATAGCGGCCACAAGAAAGGACAGGCCCTGTCCAAGCAGAGGCTTTCCAGGTGGATAGTTATGGCTATTGAAAAGGCCTACAGGTCAAGAGGTCTGCCAATGCCTCTTAATATCAAGGGCCATTCCACCAGGAGTGTCTCCACTTCCTGGGCAGCACTACAGGGGGTCCCTCTAAGTGAGATATGTGCTGCAGCCACTTGGGCCACACCATGTACCTTTGCCAGTTTTTACAGGGTGAATGTCGCTGCTCCCAGGGCACTGGCAGCAGCTGTTTTTCAGGAACCTTAAGACCGTTCACGGTGAGTTGGGATTCCTTGTGACCATGCTGGTATTAGTCATCCAGTGTTAAGAACTGCCTCTGGCGGTCAGGAAGAATG